ACCTCTTTGATTACGTTTTTTGATAGGTATATTATGGGTTTTGGTGTAGTTGTAAATGGGATTGATTCCTTAATTTGTCTTACTGCTGCTTCATTATTGGTGTATAGAAATGCAACAGATTTCTGTATGTTGATTTTGTGTCCTGCAACTTTACTAAATTTGTGTATCAGTTCTAGCAATTTTTTCAGTTTTCTTTATACAGTATCAAGTCATCTGCAAATAGTGAAATTTTGACTTCTTCCCTGCCAATTTGGATGCCTTTTATTTGTGTTTGACTGTTTGGATAAGACTTCCAGTACTATGTTAAATAATGGTGGTGAGAGTGGACATCCCTGTCTTCTTCCTGACTGCAGAGGAAAAGCTCTCAGTTTTCCCCCACTGAGGATGATATTAGCTGTGTTTTTCATTTATGGCCTTTATTATGTTGAGGTATGTTCCCTCTAACTCTTATTTTGTTGAGGGTTTTTATCATGAATGGATGTTGTACTTTCTCAAATGCTTTTCTGCATCTATTGTAACAGTCATATGGTTCTTTTTTTTTTTTTTATTAATGTGGTGTATCACCATGATTGATTTACAAATATTGAACCACTCTTGCAGCCCAGAAATAAATCCCACTTGATCGTCATAAATGATTCTTTTAATGTACTGTTGGATTCCATTTGCTAGTTCTATTGAGGGTAATGCTGCCCTCATAGAATGAATCTGGAAGTTTTCCTTCCATCTCAATTTTTTGTAACAGTTTGAGAAGAATAGGTATTAACTCTTCTTGAGATGTTTGGTATAATTCTCCTGTGAAGCCATCTGGCCTTGGACTTTTGTTTGTTGGGAGACTTTTTATTATGGGTTCAGTTTCTTTGCTGGTTATCAGTCTGTTAAACGTTTTTTATTTTTTGTTGCAGTTTTAGAGTCTGTATGTTTCTAGGAATTTACCAATTCCTTTCAGGTTGTCCAGTTTGTTGGCATATAGATTTTCATAATATTCTCCTATAATTGTTTGTATTTTTGTGGTGTTGGTTGTTATTTTTCCTCTCTTGTTTGTGATTTTATTTATTTGGGTCCTTTCTCTTTTCTGTTTGATAGGTCTGGCTAGAGCTTTATCAATTGTATTAAGTTTGTCAAAGAATCAGCTCCTGATTTCATTGATTTGTTCTACTGGCAGGGCTTGAACTCATGAGATCATGATCTGAGCCGAAACCAAGAATCTGACGCTTAACTGACTGAGCCATCCAGGTGCCCCTCTGACTGATTCTTTTTTAACTCTTATCTCTGTGGTTAATTGTCTCCCTGAAGTCTTCCATTCTTTTCTCAACCCCTATGAATATCCTTATAACTGTTGCTTTAAATTCCTGATCAGGCATGTTACTTATATCTGTTTTGATTAGATCTATGACCATAATCTTATCTTGTTCTTTCATTTGGGATGAATTCCTTTGTCTTGGCATTCCTTTGACTTGTCTAAGTCTCTGCCGCTGCCTTCGTCGTCATCGCTGCCTTCGTCGTCATCGTCATCATCGTCTTCTTCTTCAATATGGCCTCCTCTCACCCTTTAGTTGTGGAATTGTTCTGTTAGTCTTCAGGCTCATTTCTGGGGTATTTAGGATGATTTGACAGTTGTCTATTTGGGTTTGTGGGATGAGGCAAGTGTAGGGTCCTCCTACTGTGTTGCCATTTTCTTCTGTATAGTGATTTTTTTAAAGTCTCTCAAAAACTCCTATGTGGAGTTTCATGAAATTGTACGCTGATCATGGTAGACTGGATAATGGCCCCTGAAGATCTGGTCCTAATCACTGCAAGCTGTGAATGTTATAGGGCAAAATGGACTTTGCAGATATGATTAAGGATTTTGAGAGTGAGACATTAGCCTGGATTCTCCTGATGGACCCTAAATATAATCACAAGTGTCCTTGTAAGAGGAAAGTAGATGTTTGACATGAAGAGGAAGAGGTGAAGTGATGCTAGAAGCAGAGATTGGTGTAATGCACTTTGAAGGTATTGGGAGAAGACACAATCTGAGGAAACAAAATTGCTAGAAGGTGAAAAAGGCAAGGAATAGGTTTTCTCCTCAGGCCTCCAGAAGGAATCAGCCCTACCCATGCCTGACTTTAGTCTAGTGAAACCAATCTCAGACTTCTGGCATCTAGAATTATAATAGAATAAATTAATGTTTTAAGCCATCAAGTCTGTGATAATTTGTTAGAGCATCCATTGGGAACCAATGCAGATTTCGGTGTCTGGAAGTGAGGTGCAGCTGTAACAAATACCTAAAAATGTAGAAGTGGCTTTGGAATTGGGTAATGAGTAGATGGAAGATTTTTGAGGTGCAGAATAGGAAAAGCCTAGGTTGCTTTGAGCAGATTATTGGTAGAAACATGTTAGAGATGCTGCTGGAGAGGGCTCAGAAGGAAATGAGCATGTTATTGGAAACTGGAGGAAGGGAGGTTATGGCAGAAAGCTTGGCTGAATTGTGTCCTGTCCATATATGGAAAGCAAAACTTGTAAGTGGGGAACTTGGACATGTAGCTGAAGAGATTTCCAAGCAAAGTGTTGAAGGCATGGCCTGGTTTCTTCTTGTTGTTTATAATAAAATGTGAGAGGAGAATGATAAATTGAGGAAAAAACTGTTATGTTAAAAGGGAAACAGGACTTGATGATTTGGGAAATTCTCAGCCTATCTAGGTAGCAACAGTGCTAAAATTAGAAGATTCACTGTTAGGAAAGTGTGCTTTGTAGAAAAGGCATGGGTGTGGTTGGACAGTGTTTTGTGGGTGCTGAGAAGATTGGGTGTGTGACTCATGGCTCCCCTCAGCCATCTTAGCAGAAGTCAGAAACAGAAATGAAATTATCCAAGAAAGACCTGTGGAGGAGCCTCTTGTTTAATGAAATGAGTCTCTGTGACCTGCAAGGAGACTCACAGCATTTTTGAGAATGTTGTACTGGTAGGAAACATTGTCAGTTTGAACAAAGGGAAGTAGAGAAAACAAAACAGAAAAAGGCTGCTGGACTCCCCAAACCCTACAGACAGTAAATGGACTGATGAGACTATTCACCTGTAAAGGCATGCTACCATTCCTCAAAAAGGATGACTCAGGCTGGAGCCACAGTCCAAAAGGATGGAGCCTTGTGCCACAGAGGATTCTTGCTAGGTTTTGACACGTAACAGGATTTGCATTGTGGGATTCTAAAGTTGCTTGGGACTGGTGGCTCCTGTTTTCCTTTCACTCTCTCCCTTTATGAATGCCAGTGTCTACAATTGTTACCATTATATTTTGGAAGTAGAGAACTTGTTTTCTAGTTTCACAAGTCTATACAGATGGAAAGGAATCTTTTTTTTTTTTTTAATTTTTTTTTTCAACGTTTTTATTTATTTTTTGGGACAGAGAGAGACAGAGCATGAACGGGGGAGGGGCAGAGAGAGAGGGAGACACAGAATCGGAAACAGGCTCCAGGCTCCGAGCCACCAGCCCAGAGCCCGACGCGGGGCTCGAACTCACGGACCGCGAGATCGTGACCTGGCTGAAGTCGGACGCTTAACCGACTGCGCCACCCAGGCGCCCCCAGATGGAAAGGAATCTTACCCCAGGATTATGGATCACACCAAAGTTTCACCCATAGCTTGTTTAGATGATTTAGATGATGAGATATGAGACTTTTGAGCTGATGATATTTTAGATGAGCATTGGACATGGGTTAATTTTGTAATGGGTTGAGACTTTTGAATGTTGGGATGGAGTAAATGTGTTTTGCTTGTGGGATAGATGTGAACTTTAGGGCAGGCTGTGATGAGCTAAAAAATGGCTACCAAAGATATATATATGTCATTATCCCTGGATCCTGTGAATGTTTCTTCATATGGCAAAAGGGATTTTGTAGATCCTTCAGTTAAGGATCTTGAGATGGAGAGATTATTCTAGATTATCCAGGTGAGACCTATGGTCCTTTGAAGATGGAGGAAGGAACCCCCCCCACCAGTCAAGGACACAGGCCACCACTAGCAGTTGAAAAGGGCAAGAAAATGGGTTTTCCCCTTAAGGCCCTCTGAAGTATTCAGCCTTGCCAACAGCTTGACTTTAGTCCACTGATACCAATTTCAGTCTTCTGGCCTCTAGAACTGTGGGAGAATAAATTTGTATTGTTGTAAGCCACCAAAAATTTGTGGCAATTTGGTATAGCAGCCACAGGGAGCACATACATCAACCTCCAAATTAATTTGGAGTTTACCTACAATTTGAAATATTCAGTTGTTCCATCTAGGAATATGGTAAGCCTTTTCATTTATTTGAATCTTTTATTTCTCTCAAAGTGTAATTGTATTCGAACAAGTCTTGCAGATTTTGTGATGACATTACTATGGGTGCTATAGTGAATGGAATTATTTTAAACACTTTTTTTTTTTTTAAAGAGAAGATCTATTTTGGAATTTATTTTGAAGGATCATGAAGGGTAAAGCAAGTGACAGTTTGTCGATTGGAAATGAGTTTTTGTTCCTTTCTCCAGAGTAGATTATTTTTATGTTTATTTTTATTTATTTTTATTTTTTAGAGTGAGAGAGTGAGTGTGAGCAAGGGAAAGGGGGAAAGAGGGAAAGAAAGAGAATCTTAAGCAGGCTTCACATTTAGTGTGGAGCACGACAGGGGGCTTGATCCCATGACCCTGGGATCGTGACCTGAGCCAAAATCAAGAGTTGGGCACTCAACCAACTGAGCCACCCAGGTGCCCTTCCAGAGTAGATATTTTAATGGAATATGATCTCGTTGGGATTAAGTATCACATGTTTATTTGTCTTCAAAATTTTAGGAATTATTGTAGGAACACAGTTAGTGTCCCAAAGCACTGTGCTAGTTGAGTATTATCTATCTTGAAATTCAGTGAAAGCAACCTCAACAAATCTCCTACATACAGTCTTTATAAACTCTGGATATATAATAGTACAGTGGAAATAGTTGAGCATATTTTTTAGTCTTTGTCTTATTGTGCTATTTATTGTCCTGTTCCTTCAGATGCAAGGCTGACTCTGAAAAAATATATTGCAAAGGTCTCTGCAGCTGTTACAGACACAGAAAAGGGACCAGGGAAGCTCTTTAAGGAAGACAAGGTACTGCATTGTGACTACTGTTTGTTCAGAAGTCTTTTGAGAATTTTGCCTTTTACCTTTAATTTCTTATACTAATGCTCTAGAGGTAGGTCGTGGTCCTTGCTGGTGTCTTCTCCCTCCCTTGCTTCCTCCTTCCCTCTTATCTACCCTTACTCCTTCCTTCCTTCCCTCCTTCCTTAGTAAACTAGTGAAAAGAGAATGATAAAAATTAAATGAAATGATATTAAAGAGTGACATAGAGATACATGTACTAAGTATTACATCCAACAACATAAATACATTTTGAAATGTATTGTTGAAGTGAAGAAAAAATCATCAAAGACTGTAGAGATTTTCTTATGAAATTTGAGCTTTATAGCTCAAAACCAAGCAAAATGAAACTATATTGTTTAGGGATATCTACATATGGGGTAAAACTATTAAAAAAGAAAAGCAAAGTTATAAACACAGATTGTGGTGATCTGTTGGAGGAGGGCAGGGGGATAAATTAGGGGAGAAGCACAGAAATAGTGTTAATAGTACCGGCCATGTTCTGGTTATTCTGTTGATTAGTGAGTTCTACTGATACTCATGTCATTAAGTTTTGCTTTAAAACTTACATATACATCATATTTTAGTATCTGTGTATATATACATTACATATTTCTTAATGTTTCATATTATACATGATGGTAAACAAAGGCACAAATATAAAGACAGCTAATTCTAAAGCCAGCTTGCCACATTTACCATATACTAAGCATTACATATGGACTAATTTATTGCTTTGGATGTACACTAAAATAAAAAGATATGCTCCAGGTACTAGAAATGTGGTTTGGTTTTAAATGATCTCTTGCATTTCTGTGCAAGATGTTCTGTGAATTCCCTGTGACTTCTAATTCTGATGAAAAAGAATTAGCTATTGCTAAAAGTGTAAGACAGCTCCAAGTCTGAGAATATAAGTGACACATTTCACTTGTGGTTTGTAAAACAGTTTACAAAATCTCTTATGAAACCAACAAAATATAGGCCAAGTTCTATTAGAGTAGCTATTGCAGCTATTAAATCTGAGAAAGAAAAATTTCCTGGCACAGACAGTACTCTGTTCAACTAGGTACTATAAAAGTTCTTTTAATTTCAATTTTTAAATATTTGGTTATTCGAGCTAGAAAATATTATATACAAATAGTAATAATTAGAATAAAATTGAAATGCCTAAAGCAAACTTACTAGCTTTCTTTCTTCCATTTCCAGTCTTACTGTCCTGGGGTTCTAATAACAATCTTGTGTTAGTTTCACCATACAAATTTCACCATTTCAGTTATATAAACACATGTATTCACACATACAGTTTTATAAGATTTTGTTTTTTTATAAAACTATATATTTATAAAATATATAAATATAAATACAAATTTATATTTATATTTTTATAAAACTATATATTTATCCTTAATTTGCTTTTTTTTTTCTTTTAATAATATATTATGGCCATCCTTCCAAATCCACTTGATTTCTGCATACACTACTGCCTATTTAATAATAGGGACAGGACATGCAAAAAATTCATTATTTTCTTTCTTATTATGAACCACAAAACAATAAACATCTTAAATCAGACACCCTCAGTTTGCTGCGTGTGTGCCGAGATAGCTTTGATGCAAATTGAGAAGTTTTCAGTGAGGTGGAGCTCTTCTTGCGTTTCTGGCACTTCCTCTCTTCTGAACCCTCTGAGAGGGAATAAACTTCCTGTTGAGTTGCATCCAGTTCATACCATCCACCTATTCTCTAACCTTTGCAAACACTTCCCTTTGTCACAGGGCTCATTGAAAATAAAGAATTAGGGAGAGGATGTACACTGGCCCAGGGCTTCAGGACTGTAAATTATGAGTTTTATTTTACACAACATTCCACTAATGTTAGAGCTGCACTGTCCAATATAGCAGCCACTAGCCACATGTAGTTATTTTAAGTTAGAATTGATTAAAAATTAAATAAATTGAGTTCCTCAGTCACACTTGTCCCTTTTCTAGCACTCAGTGGATAAATGTCAAATGGTGACTACATTGGACGATGCAGATAGAGCATTTCCACCATCACAGAAAGTTCTCTTGCACAGTGCTAGTTCAGAGATACTATAGAGTTTTATTTTTTAATAAACAAGTAGAAAGTAAATTCTGTTTCTGTCTCTAGAATACCATCCTCAGTGTATGCCGTATAAAAAATGAATGGTTGGAAACCCATTTGAAAGCTTCTGTCAGCGAGCTTTTGGAGCAGAAACAACAATTGGAAGATATTGTGACTCCTATCTTCACAAAAATGGCAGCACCGCGTAAGTTTTGGATAAAAATGGTTTGAATGTCAGAAAAGATGAATATTCAATGTTCAGTGTTATTTCTGAGGTTAACAACTTCTGATTTTGACAATCTTCATTAACCTTTTACAAGCTCATGATACAAGTATAATATAACTCCCTAGATTTATTATTAGCTTCAATATTAGTAACAATTATTATTTCTGTAGAGAATGTCTCATATTGATATTGTTGCCATTATTTATTAATTTTATATAATTTACTATGCCTTTGATTTTCAACTAGGAAAGCCAGTCCTCCTAGGAGATAGAATGGCAGAATTTGAAAAAGCACTTTCAGTATTATAACTGTGCTTTGAAAATCCTGTTGGGGGAACAGTCTCCTGTCAATGGGGAAGCTGCACTTGGTGACAGGCATCCCTAAGAATTTTTAAAATATCAGTTTTATTGAGATTTAATTCTTTTTTTTTTTAAACTTTTTTTAACGTTTATTTATTTTTGAGACAGAGAGAGACAGACCATGAACGGGGGAGGGTCAGAGAGAGAGGGAGACACAGAATCTGAAACAGGCTCCAGGCTCCAAGCAGTCAGCACAGAGCCTGAGGCGGGGCTCGAACTCACATACCCCGAGATTGTGACCTGAGCTGAAGTCGGACGCTTAACCGACTGAGCCACCCAGGCGCCCCGAGATTTAATTCTTATACTATAAAATTCACCAACTAAAAATGCACAATCCACTGGTTTTCAGTATATTCACAGAGTTATATAATCATCACCACCATCTAATTTTAGAACATAAACACCCCAAAAGGAAACACCATACCCATTCGCAGTAACCCTTCCCCCCGCCCTCCTTCCCATAAGGCTCCTACAACCATTTATCTTTTGTATTTCTATAGAATTGCCCATTCTGGACAAGATTTGCCCATTGTGGACATTTCATGAATAGAATCATACAATTTGTGCCATTTTGTGTCTGGCTTCTTTCATTTAGCATGCTGTTTTCAAGGTCCATACATGTTGTAACATCCGTATTCCTTTTTGTTCTGAATAATATTCTTATATGGATTCAAACTTACCCAAACTTACCTATTTATTCATTAGTTGATGCATATTTAACTTTCCATGCTTTTGAGTATTGTAAATAATGCTGCTGTGAACTTTTGTGTACAAATTTGTATGACTGCATGTTTTCATTTCTCTTGGGAGAATTGCTGGGCCATATGGTAACTCTGCCTCTTCATTTGAGGAACTGCTGAATGTTTCCAATAAGCAGAGTATATGAAGATTCCAATTTATCCACGACATTATCAACATCTATCATTGTCCTTTTTAAAAAAATTTTTTTTAATCTTTATTATTTATTTTTGAGAGAGAGAGAGAGAGAGAGAGAGAAAGAAAGAGAGGGAATGAGCAGGGGAGGGGGCAGAGAGAGAGGGAGACATAGAATCCGAAGCAGGCTCCAGGCTCTGAGCTGGTAGCACAGAGCCCCATGCGGGGCTCGAAACTACAAACCGTGAGATCATGACCTGAGCTGAAGTCGGACACTTAACCGACTGAGCCACCCAGGCGCCCCCTATCATTGTCTTTTAAAAAACTTTTAGCCATCCTAGTGGGTGTGAAGTGATACCTTAATATAGTTCAGATTTGCATTTCCTTAATTATTAATCATGTTAAACATCTTTTCATGTGCTGAGTGGCTATTTGTATATTTTCTTTGGAGACGTGTCTATTGGACTCCTTTGCCCACTTTTAAATTGGGTTGCCTTTATGTATTTTGAGTTCAATTCCCTTATCTGATATGTGATTTGCAAATATTTTCTCCCATTCTGTAGATTATCTTTTCATTTTCTTGATTGTGTCCTTTGTTTTTTTTTTTTTTTTTTTTAATTTTTTTTTTTTCAACGTTTATTTTATTTTTGGGACAGAGAGAGACAGAGCATGAACCAGCGAGGGGCAGAGAGAGAGGGAGACACAGAACTGGAAACAGGCTCCAGGCTCTGAGCCATCAGCCCAGAGCCCGACGCGGGGCTCGAACTCTCGGACCGCAAGATCGTGACCTGGCTGAAGTCGGACGCTTAACGGACTGCGCCACCCAGGCGCCCCAATTGTGTCCTTTGAAGCAAAAAAGCCTTTAAGTGTGAAGTCCAGTTGACCTTATTTTTCCTTTTGTTGTTTATGTGTGCAGTGTCGTATCTAGGATACATTGCCTAACCCAAGGTCACCAGCGCTTACTCTTATGGGCTTTTTGGTAAGACTTTTGTAGTTTTAGCTTTTTTCATTTAGCTCTATGGTCCAATCGAAGTTATTTTTTGTATATGATGTGAACCCATTCTTTTGAATGTTGGATTATGAGTATGCAAGATTTTTTTTTTTTTTAATCAAAAGGGGCTATGGTTTTTTAAAGGTTAAGACAATCTAATCTAGGTAGTATGGCAGAGTATCCCTTGCCATCTTTACCAGACGTCTATTGAGCATATGCATAGATAGCACACTCCTAGGTCCCCTGAAGGGAGACAGATGCTTTACACCGTCCTTGTCTTTAAGCAGCCTACTACCTAGTTTGTGAAAACTACAAACTAGAAAAGATAAACTCAGTACTGTGTATGTTCAGAGAAGCCTAGCTATTAGGAGGAAGCATCATGAAGAAAGAGGAATTGTCTGAAAGGATGGGTAGCCAGGCTGGAATATGAAGGGAGTTCTGGAATGAAGGCACAATAGGATGACAAAAGGCTTGAAGGTGGGAGTGGGGAAGTGGCCAGGATCCATCTGGCTAATTATAGTGAAGTCTGTGAGGAACAGTGAAAAATAAGGTTGAAAAGTTAACTGGTGCTCATTTCATTAAAAGTACTGAATTATAAGCTTAGAAGTTTGGTCTTTATCCGGGGCAGAGGGCTGCCATTAAATGCTTTGGGGTAAGCAGAGAAGAAGGATTCAGTAGGAGAGAATAATATGGCTTTCCTTATAAAATGGATGGAGAAGAGACTAGAGGAAGTGAGACCAACATAGTCCAAAAGTGAGATGACTAAGACCTGGAACAATCTGGTTCTCACCCTCTCTCCCTGTCATTGTGGTACAATCTGGTTCTCACCCTCTCTCTCTGTTCTACCACTGCTGTTAGCCTGGTCCATCACCTCTCCCTCCTTCCCTTCTCATCGCTAAGGAAGAATCACCTCTCTGCCCCCCTCAGGTCTTCTATACCCCCTCCAAGCACCCCAGTATCTTATACCTTCACATGATGGAAATGTTAGTCTTGATGGGACCTCTCAAATGACCCCCTCAAGTTACAAGGAGGAAAGTGAAGACTGGTGAGGTTAAGCAGTTTATTCAGTTATTCTATTCAATGGCAGAATTAGGAACAATAATACCAATTATATGGGAAATGTGACCTCATACCTTTAAATTTAAAAAAAAAAAAAAAAGGTGGAGGAGAATACTAGAATTGACATACCAACCCCAAGGCTTGATTAATGACTGGTTCAGACTGGCAATTATTTTACAACTGGCTTCATTTTTGTTTTATATGACAAGCTAATTAAAATTTTTTTTTCAACGTTTATTTATTTTTGCGACAGAGACAGAGCATGAACGGGGGAGGGTCAGAGAGAGAGGGAGACACAGAATCGGAAACAGGCTCCAGGCTCTGAGCCATCAGCCCAGAGCCTGACGCGGGGCTCGAACTCCCGGACCGCGAGATCGTGACCTGGCTGAAGTCGGACGCTTAACGGACTGCGCCACCCAGGCGCCCCATATGACAAGCTAATTAAATGTAATTTTAAAATCTGCTTCCTTCCAGGTCAAGTGAAAAGTGCCAAATCTGTAGTCTAAGCCATGGTCAGAAAAGAAGTCAAGATCTTACCTTCTACTGAATATATATTTTGTAAAAGACCACACTTTCTTCTAATATTTATAAAAGCAAACTTACTCATGCCAACTGAAGTTAAGAAAATACATGTAGGGCTTTATAAGAATGTTTAGGTATGAATCACCTTTTTTTTGTTTTACCCTATTCAGCACGTGTAATTCCAGACGCTCTGTCCTTGCCTCTGCTTCAAGTGTGGCTCCGTGTGAGTTCCACATGCTGCTTCCAGACAGTGTGGGTGTGAATCACTCACAAAGTCTCTCTGGAAGCTCTAAAAGCTATATAGTGAATCTAACAGTTTTCTAACAGAGGCAGGAAATTTCCATTTAACTGAAGAATTCTATTAGAAAAGACATATTAGCTATTTCCAGAGGAAAAGTTTGTTCTCCCTCTTTCAAAAGAAAAGCTATGGGAAGACATTCTGGAGCAAGGATATATTAAGAATTGTTTGGCTCGGGGTTTTCGTCTTCTTCTTCCTTCTTCCTTCTTCCTTCTTTTTTAATTATATGGTTTATTTATTTATTTTGAGAGAGATCACTCAAGCAAGGGAGTGGAGTGACATAAACGGAGAGAGAGAGAACCCCAATCCCAAGCAGGCTCTGTGCCCAACATGAGAATCAATCCCACCAACCATGATACCATGACCTGAGCTGAAATCAAGAGTCGGACAGTTAATTGACAGAGCCACCCAGGCTCCCCTCAGGGTCCTCTTCTTAAACAACTATTACTTTTTTTGTTTTGTTTTTAATGTTTATTTTTGAGAGAGACAGAGAGATAGAGAGAGAACAAGAGCGCCAGCGGGGAAGGGGCAAAGAGAGGGAGACACAGAATCTGAAGCAGGCTCCAGGCTGAGTTGTCAGCACAGAGCCTGACGCGGGGCTTGAACTCACAAACTGGGAGATTATGACCTGAGCCGAAGTCGGATGCTTAACTGACTAAGCCACCCAGGCGCTCCTACAACTATTACTTTTTATATCCAAATTAAAATTTACCTGTGAGGTGGGATTTAGTCTTTTAGTAAAATCTGCTCATTTCTTTAGCTTCCTCCTCCTCCTCCTCCTCCTCCTTTCTCTCTCTCTCTCCACACACACATGTATATTTAGATTTCCCTTATTCTGTAGGTTTGACAATATAGATATTTTAACTGGACTCCATGCTATCTTTCTTTCTGTTCTGTTTTATATTTTTTATGATTAAAATTTTTTTTTTACATTTATTTATTTTTGATGAAGAGAGACAGAGCACAAGTGGGGGAGGGGCAGAGAGAGAAAGAGACACAGAATTGGAAGCAGGCTCCAGGCTTCGAGCTCCAAGCTCTGAGCTGTCAGCACAGAGCCTGACGTGGGGCTCGAACTCACCAACTGTGAGATCACGACCTGAGCCGAAGTTGGATGCTTAACCAACTGAGCCACCCAGGCACCCCCTATTTTTTATGTTTTAAATATCAGTGTTGGTTTGGTTTCATATTAGTGGTTTGGAATGTCTTTTTTTCCCCTAGTTTATCTAAAAGCCCCCAAATCTTCTACTACTCTGATTTTCCTGAAAATTTTTATAGAAACAACATGTTAAAAAAAAATACATTTATGTGTTGTTCTTAAGACCTTTTCTTTTTTGTCCTACACTAAAAGCTAGTTTTTCATTATAGAGGGGATGGAAAAGAAAAAAGCAATTCAGTAATTGCTCATCAGTTGACACTTTCTCAACTACGGTTTTGAGATAACACTTTAAATTTGTGTCACAGATTTTTAAGTTTTGAGATCTTTTTTATGCATGAGCAATTCCATTTCAGCAATTCCATTCCATTTTTGCCTTTAGCAAAAGAATAGGGCAATAACTCTCACTCCCTCTGGTAGATCCAATGGGTGTTTGTGGAGTTCTACAAGGAAGGAGGTCTATCTGTGTTGGCTCTGCTCTCTTACTATTGTACATTGTGAGAAGTCTGTTACCTTTAAGGACTGCAGTAATTTGGGACAAGGCTAGTTGCCATTTTTATTGTTTCTACCGTATTTTCTGAGCCTTGATCTTGAGTATGTCGTTACCTTCCAGGCAATGTGGTCCTGATGATTAGGGGGATGATTCCTGAATCTTACTTCAAAGATTCGTAGATAACACTGAGACAGTTCTGGAGATCCTTAATATAAAATAAACCTCTCTCTCCTTTATTCGCCTTTTAGTTCTTCTCTTCCAACTTCTTGAAGCTTTTGATGTATGTAGTAACGCTGTCTTTTTAAAACTCCTTGACTGGCACCCTTATGTCATTGTGGTTCCTTTACTGCTTTTCTAACTCCTTTACCAGCTGCTGTGGTCTGAATGTGTTGTATGTCATGCCCCCACTCCTCCCCTCTGCAAATTCACATGTTAAAATCTAATGCTCAAAGTGACAGTATTAGGAGGTGGAGCCTTTCGGAGGTGATTAGGTTATGAGGGCAGAACCCTCTTGAATGGGATTAGGTTCTTATAAAAGAGACCTCCAGACAGTTCCCTTGCCCTTAGCACCCATGTGAGGTTACAGCAAAATGAGCCGTATAGGAGGTAGGCTCTCACCAGACACTGAATCTTCTGGCACCATAATCTTGGACTTCCCAGCCTCCAGAACTGTAAGAAATAAATGTTTGTTGTTTATAAAGTAGCCAGCTATGGTCTTTTGTTGTAGCAGCCTGAACTAAGATGCCAATTCCTATTCTTCATCTTGCCTCCAGCAATGGAAACTTCTCAAAAGTCAGTCTGTCTTACAAGTTTCTATGTCAGTTATGCCTCAATAAAGATGAAAAAAAAAAAAAAAAGCCTATTCTGACCTTTGGCAAAGCAGTCTATAATTCTTCACCCTGTGACCTTTTTTTATCCCCAGTGTTAGGAAGAACTAATCCCTCCTTCTCTGGAGTATCTGTAGTGCTAATAGCCACATATATATTCTATTTAATTGTTCACATATTTGTCTTCCCTTGCGGATTATGAGCTTTTTGAGGGAAGGGGATTTGTCATGTTTTTCTTCATACCTCAAGAGCCCATAAGGTAGTAAGTTAGTAAATAACAGTTGAATGAATTCTCTTTTGGTGCTACCTTATTCATAGAGTTCTTTCTAAAAATGACTCCTGAACCCTTCTCTCCATTACCTTCTTTGTGCTGGTGCCCTGTTGCGACTCCCGCTTCTCCGGCCCCACACACGTACAACGTCATGACTGTGTATCTAGTTTCTCCTCTGTTTTCTGACCTTCATCTTGAATGCTGTACTAGTTTTTAGGCCTGTGAAGCTGGTGATTACCAAAGGATTCCTGGATGCCATGTCAAAGATTCTGCTGATGTGAGGATCTGAGTTTAGAGAGATATAGTACTTCTTGTGATCTGTTGTTGCATTGAATTATACATTTATTCATAGGAGAGTTCAAATGCCCATATGCTTTGAGTTTGAGCTGCTACACAGGTAGGTGCAGGACTTCTTCTGAACACCCGTAGAGTAATTACAATTTCAATGTGCAGACTAGTAAATTAAATTATTTAGAAAGGGGTCAAGTAAAGGCTAAATTCAGTGCTATGATAAACGCTAGACAGTGGTTCCTGAGACTTCTGTAGTTTAATTGGAAAAATGTGAAAAAATGGAGGAGATTGATATGACATCATTAAGAAAACAATTACTATCTGCTATCACTGTTATTTAATAAAAGAGAAGATTTTAACATCAGAAAAGAAGGGAAGGTGTGATTTCATTTTTAGGTTCTGTCCTTTAAATTGAATAAATTAAGCTTTATTATGAACTGTTATATTTTTCTCATTATGCCACGTATGATGGAACTTTTGTCATGAATCACCACTGGTCTATGGTCCAGCCTTTGAGAACTGCTCTAGACTGAGCTGAAGCAGGCAGAATGCTATTAAGGTGAACATGATGCCCCAAATTATAAAGGGCTGACAATACACTCTGATTTTTTTTAATCTAAAATGTGATACATTGTATTTTCCAAGTTGGCCCCATCTCCTGTCCTACATGCTCTTCTTACAATGTAATTGTGACATTCTTCACACAGAGAGGTGAGTCTCTACTATCTCCTCTTGAATCTGGGCAGGCCTGTGCTTATTGTGGAAGTAATACTATGTGATTTCCATAGATCATAAAAGGTGATGCAGTTTCCAGCTAGTTCATTTGAGATGCTCAGTCTTGGAAACCAGTCTGTGTGGAGAGACCCATATGGACAGAAACTGAGGCCCTAACCCACAGCCCTGTCTGAGCTTCAGCTAACAGTCACTGCTAGTGAGCCATCTCGGAAGCAGATCCTTCAATCAAGCCACCAGAGCCAATGCAGTATGGAGCCTTCTCTGTTGAGTCCTGCTAAAATTGTAGATGTCAGCTAAATAAATGATTGTTGTTGTTTTAACCTACTAAGTTTTGTGTCTCTTTGTTATGCAGTAATGTATAACATACACGTTTTAGACTGTGGAAGCGAGAAAATGACATAACAAACCCCTCTCCTGGGGGAGAGGATTAGATTGGAATGACAAAGGAATGAGAGAGTAGAATTTCATTGTCACAAGATAACTTCCTTGAAAATAAACTACAAATTGATGAATAATGTTCATTTGTTTAAATTTATACTATATTTGTTTCTAGTGATTGTATATGAGGCAAAAATCTATTAAGTTTGGCATCGCATAATTGGGATACATTTGACCTCCTATGAAGAGTAATATTGTTTCTTCAAATTAAGTACCAGAAGTACCTAAAATATGTGATATTGCCGTTTTGGAACTCCAGAGGACCTAGAGGAGAGTGTTCGTGAAAGTCTGCAGAATCTTTAAAGGTCTCTGGGAGGTTATTAGTGGGAGTTTATAGGAAGGGGAAGAAAATGTTATTAGAAACTGGAGAAGAGAGGCCCTTGTTATGTGATGGTGGTAAATTTGACCGCACTGTTGTCTAAGTAATGAACTCAATGGTCCTGCTAAGGATTTTTCTAGATAGTGTTCAAGTGCCACCTGGCTGCTTCTGCTACAACATGAGAGGAGAGAGATGAGCCAAAAAGGAACAGTTCAGTTTTCAAATGAAATTTAGAAGAAATATAATGGAGCCAGTACCCACTGAGTTTAAAAATAAAAGTGTTTCTCATTCCCAGCCTTTCTAGAAGGCAAAAGGTCTCAAAATAAGAAATGGATTCTGAGAAAAGATAAAATCTCAGGCGGGATTGTGAGGTCATAAGACCTCAGAGATATCTAAGGTGGCACCTTCTGGAACTGCTCCGACTTGAGGTGGACTTTCTCAGTGCATCTGGGAGGATGACCTCCAGCTGCTCTAGGCAATCATTGTCATAGCTAGAAACCAAATGCGAAGAGAACAGCTCTCTCTGTCTCGACAGTGATATATACCAAGCTGAGGAACCATCTAAATGGTCCTGAGTCCCACGCCCATCCCTGAACCAATCATTGTATTAGGGGGATGCATTAGGGTTATGACTAACCAACCTTGTCTCAGTCAGATACTATAATCTATTATCAGAATATGGGAAAGAGAAAGGATTCTGATAATATAATCTATGATCAGAATATGGGGTTGGGGGAGAACATCCTGGGCAGCCCCTCAGCCCTCAACTCCTAAAGCTGTCACAGTCTACTCAGCTGGCTCTGCCAAAAATGGTGACACACAGATTTATTATTGCTTTTCTTTTTTTATTCTTTTTTAAATTAAAAAAAAAATTATTTTTAGAGAGAAAGAGACCAAGCAAACGTGCATGTACACAAGCATGGGGGGGGGGGGGGGGTGGAGAAAAAAAGAGGGAGAAAGAGAATCTCAAGCAGGCTCTGTGCTGTTAGTGCAGCACCTTGTGCGGGCTCCATCTCATGGCCGTGAGATCATGACCTGAGCCTAAATCAAGAGTCAGACGCTCAACCGAGCCACCCAGGCACCCCTATTATTGCTTTTCTTTAAAGCTCTATGGGAAAGATTGTAATGTAAAGGAATTTGATCATCTCTGTATTTTAGTTATGTGCGCTCACTAGAGGAACTATGTGTAACCTAGAGCCAACTATGAATTTTGTCCAAGTATTCTTGAGGTATGAGGATTTTTCTAAAAACCATGGAGAAACTGAATTTTGAAATGTAAAGCTTCATGAGACTTACCTGTAGGGTCTAGGTGACCCAAGTGAGCCTGAGAGGACAGCAGGATAGGAACTAGATGGAAGGTGAAAGGATGTTACTCAAAATTATATGAAGCAGTTGAGAGAATTCAAGGCAACAAGTGGTATAGATAACACAAAGATGAAAATGGGAGAAATGGTAGTAAACTTGGTAACTAGGAGACTTAAGTAAGGGCATGGGAAAGAGAAAGGAATGGGTCTCTCAGACCCTGTGATAAGACAATTTAAAAAAAAAACAAACAAAAAAACATGGTCCTTGGAATTTATGGGCTGAGTGGTTTAAAAGAACCATACCAGACAACAACAAAATGCAAATATTTTGGAGAATGGTTTATGGGCAGCAACCAATGGTGGTTGCTGCAATCAGGGCCAGACATAGAACTGTTGACTAAAACTCTTTAAAGTTTCAGGTAGAAATTGAGACTTTCATTTGTCAAAGCTTCTTTGATACGTAGTGATGGAGAAAATGGATGACAAATTTAGTAATCTCACTGCTGTGGCGGTATCCATGATGCCCTGGGGGAGAGGATTAGATTGGAATGACAAAGGAATGAGAGAGTAGAATCTCATTGTCACAAGTAACTTCCTTGGAAATAAACTACAAACTGATGAATAATGTTTATTTGTTTAAATTTATACTGTATTTGTTTTTAGTGATTATATTTGAGGCAAAAATCTATTAAGCTTGGCATCGCATAATTTGGGATACATTTGTCCTCCTATGAAGAGTAATATTGTTTCTTCAAATTAAGTACCAAAAGTGAGAAATTCCCATTGAAAAGGAAGGATAGGTAGAAAAAGAGAAAATGGAAAAGGATAAATGAAAAAATCAGAAGGGAGACCAGGCAGTGGTAAAGAGGATTAGGGCTGGAGAAAGGAAAACAAGAATATATATTTAAAAACATGTAGGAGGAGGTTCTGTCTACATGGTGTATGACCATGGCAGGCAAAGAAAATCAGTTAAAACAGTTGTGGGTATAGACACAGCTTGAGCATTAAGAAATGCAAGCTTCTCTGGAACTGGATCACTTAGCTGCTTCTGGATTGGGAGTGGGGGATGATATATGTAGCCAATCAGAATGAAAGTAAGTTGGCAAGCAACCAATGGGAATTAGGTATGGAAATGGCTTTCAGTGTGATATCAGTTGGCAGTACTGTCCTTGGCAAACAGACGCAGAGCTGAGCGTCTTTCGTTCTTTGTGATTTTCAAGAGCCTTCATCTTGATTTCCACTCTGAACCAGCTTAGTCTTGAAAGATGGTATCTCTGGTCTTGGTAGTTTGGAGAAGAACTTGATTTGAGAGCGGTGCTGTAATGACAGGTGGGGATAGCAGGATGTGAGAATGCCAGGGATGTGGAGGGTTATTTGAGGGACATGTGAAGTGATTTGAGGTTGCAGCACTTTGAATCTCATTTCTGCTTCACATCAGAATATGGCTTATAGACAGGTGCAAAACAAAGAACCAAAGATTAACTCTAAATATTATTGGGGATACTTCAGGAACCTCTAGGAATTTTTAGGTTAAGGTTAACTGCCAGGAAAAATAAAACAGAATGAGTCCTTCTCAGGACCACGAAATAGATTTGTGCAGGCTATGTTCTACACAAGGGCACCAGCTGAGGGTAGGTACTGGGGCTGAAATCCCTGCACAAACCATGTGCCTTGTCATCAGGAAGGGGGACTTTTTCTAATTCACTTAAAGGCACCATATGATAAAACCTCAAATTTAGTCTTTTCCTTTGTTTTTAGGTTATTTACCTTCCTCCCCTGCCCCACCTTATCGGTGTGACTCAACATTGACCTCCCAAAATTGGAAACCATTTTGGATTTGGAAGGGCCCAAGAGAGGAAAAAGGGGATGTGGGATTGAAATAGTAAAGGGGAATTCCAGAATGATTTATACCCATGGAGGAAGAGCTCCCCCTCAAAAAGTTCGGTTCATCAAATATTATAGAGAGCCTATTATGTGCCTTGTACTGTGTGTAAGAAAAATAATATTCAGCCCTGGCCCTTGAGAAACTCACTGTCCAATGTGGAAGGCAAATACATCACTAGATCATATGATGGTTAAGTGCAGAAATCAATGGAGTCACGCCTCCATGCATGTGTAGAAGTGTGAGGAAGAAACACACTGCTGTTAGTGTTCCTATAAAACGTTCTTGGATGGGGTGCCTGGGTGGCTCAGTTGGTGAAGCGTCCGACTTCAGCTCAGGTCATGATCTCGTGGTTGGTTTGGGAGTTTGAACCCCGAGTCGGGCTCTGTGCTGACAGCTCAGAGCCTGGAGCCTGCTTCAGATTCTGTGTCTCCCTTGCTCTCTGCCCCTCCCCCGCTCACACTCTGTCTCTTTCTCTCAAAAATAAATAAACATTAAAAATTTGAAACATTCTTGGAGCAAGAGGTAGAACAGACAGTATCAATGTGTGCCCTGTGGCAAGAAGAAATGTGCTGAGACCTGAGTGTGGTACAATCTTAGGTAGGAAGAATGTGGATGTGCTAGAACTTGGCAAGTCTCATTTTCTTCTTTTTGCATCTTGTAACAGGTTAGTCTGTGGTAGTGAAAGTAGTAACTCACATCTGAATTCATCAAGTTAGGACTGAAAAAGCAGTGTCAAAAATGAACTCTTTCTTCTGGGTGCAAAGAGAAGATAACAGCAGCAGGACAGAATTACTCTGCGGCAGGACAGCTGGCTACACTATTGTAAATGGGCATTTCACAATGCTTGTGTGTTTCACGATTGTCCTGGGAGGTAAGAAGTAATTTCTAAATCTCATCTTTCCTCTGCCCTCTGAACCTTTCTTGTAGAAAGTGATCACAACTTCCATAAAGAAGTCCAATGAAATTGTAAGATGTGAGTGAATGCTGACAGTCTAGTTTCCTTTAATTATAAGTAGCATCTATACTGTGTCCCTTCCTTCGGTGACATTTGCTAAGCACAGCAGAATGGTAGGCAGAAGCGGAAATAGTCCCCTCATGGGGGAGACAGGCAAACAATAATTACAATACAATGTGGTTAGTTTAACTGTAAAGTTGTTGTCCAGAATCTCTGGTAACGTGGAGGAGAGCCTCATGCTGCCTGCCTGCCAGGCTTAACCTGACCAATAAATCTGGGATGAGGGGACAACGACTGGGGCAAATAAGACCCACACATACATTTCACAATTTGCATACTTGAAGTCATCACTTCTGTCCATTCTATCATGGCTTTTGAAGTGATTTTACTTCCGGGAGGATGCCATCCACCCCACACCCTAGTGGGCAATTAGGAGAGACTTCACAAGGAAAGGCCTCTTAAATGATAATTAAGAATTCAATACGTATGGGGCGCCTGGGTGGCTCAGTCCCTTAAGTGTCCGCTTCTTGATTTCAGCTCAGGTCATGATCTCACTGGTCGTGATTTTGAGCCTCCACGCTGACAGTTCGGAGCCTGCTTGGGATTCTCTCCTTCTCTCTCTGCCCCTCCCCAACACATGCACATGCTCTCTCCCTCTCTAAAAATACATAAACTTAAAATAAAATTTTTTAAAGAATTCGATAGGTATGGTTCATGATATTCATGCAGATAAAATACCATATTAAAAAACACAGGTACTTTATTCCACAATTCAACACTAGTGATTGGAGAAAAGCGTCTAGTCCCCTTTAACATTTTTTTCTTTGGGAAAAAAGGTCAGCTGTTTTAAAATCCTTTCTTGAATTAGGAAGAGTATAAAGAAATAATGAAGCAAACATTCATAAAAACTTCTTCAATTTTACCTATCATATCAGGGAGCAAAATTGCCTTTTCTGGGGTGAATCTTTAAAACACACACTAATGACATTGGTCTCCTGTCGTACTAAGAGGCGCTGGTGACCATGAATTTCGCCAGCTCCAGATCCTTGATGAATACATAGGGACAAGTGCTCTAGCAATAAAGGGCATTACAGAAATGGTTCAAGAAACATTTCTTTAGCCCTATGCAAAAGAAGTATTCAATTAATATCTACCAACTTGGCATGACCTGTAGCTGGAAGGCAGTGAATGGGATGCCAGAATCTTGCCCTAGGCATAAATTAATTGGATTATAATCTATATATTCCTTCTGGAGATAAGAGCTGAATAATCTTGGACAGAGGAGAGAGCTTCAAGGCAAGATAATACATGTAGGCAGAGAATAACACATGTCTTCTGTTACTTGTCTGGTGAAGCCAGTTTTCTCCATAGTTAGAGCTCAGTTAAAAGTATTTCTGGCTTTTAAGAAAACTATAGAATATATATTGCTGTAGTTTAGGATGAGTACTAATAAAAGGTGTAATAGGTTGATATGAAGTTTGGCTTTTCATAATTTCTCATCATCAGACCCACAGATAAGATACCTGTACAGTGATCATAATGGGCCACTGGGTGGGCAAATGGGAGGTTGCTGGAATTTCAGTATTTTCCAAATTTACCTGTGAGAGATGCTTCATTTTGTATGTCTTAAAGAGACAGCATTTGTAACAGCTATCAATTATTTATTCATAGTGATATGATACTCAGGAAGTTTATTTATTAAAAAAATTTTTTAATGTTTATTTTTGAGACACACACACACACACACACACACACACACACACACACACACACAGCATGAGCAAGGGAGGGGCAGAGAGAGAGAGAGGGAGATGAATTCGAAGCAGGCTGCAGGCTCTGAGCTGTCAGCACAGAGCCCAATGTGGGGCTCGAACTAATGAACTGCAAGATCATGACCCGAACCAAAGTTGGACACAACCGACTGAGCCACCCAGGCACCCTGACACTCGGGAAGTTTGAAATTAAGTACCTAGAGAAAGAGGATATTAAATTGTTTTGAAACTATACATTTTGTATAAATAAAACATACATGTATTTCTTCAGGATTTTTGAAGACCTGTCTAAGGAATTCTGAAGTCATTGTTTTGATAATTCTTTCTGTGTCAGGATTTATGATAGGACAACTGGCTCACAGTTTTGTTCAGGTAATGTATGTACAATAAATTAGTAAGTGAAAGAACAGAAACCAAAATCAAGGTCCACTCTCAACGCTATCCCTGAATGTATGGAATTTTAAAAAAATGTGAACAGCTCCTGAAAGAATTCATCTGCCATTAAAAATTTTGAAAATGAAAAACCATACAGTATAAGAGACATATTAAAGAAGCAGAAGATAAAATGCTAGTATGGAAGTAAGGAAAATTCAACTGCATTCTTGGGTTCTTCATCGTCTGCCTTTGGAGCCTTACTCCTGTTTCCTTCCCCTCTCTGTATACTGGTTTCATCTGTGGAATAGTCTTCAATACCTGTGGAGCCTCTAGTTATAAAAGGCAGCTGTTACTGTCATAATGAAGCATGGTTACTCTTTTCTGACTGCCAGATTAAATGCAAAATGTGTCATGTAGTATATAATACAGATACAAGAAAAATTTTATTTATTAACTCTTGACTTCAAGTGCATAGCAGTGTGATCAGTAACGATTTGGCTCCACTCATTCTTTTATTTTTAAAAAATGGAGATGATGCTTGTACCTCTCTAGGATTGTAAAAACCTCCTGTTATTCTTCTAAACACCACCATTACTACTAACGTCTTTTGAGTGTTTGCTATGTGCCAGGGTCTCTTTTAAGTGCTTTGTGTTTATTAATTTATTAACTTAGTAATAAGTTATAGAAATAGTAGAATTAGTAAGAAATAGTAATATTTCTTTTTTTCCAATGAAATATGGAGCTGTTTAATTTTAAAAATTTATGGTTGACACACAATGTTACCTTAGTTTCAGGTGTACAACGTAGTGATTCAACTTCTCTATGTGTTATGCTGTGCTCAACTTATCATCAATTCTTGAGTTAATTCATTGGTCTTCACAGAAACCCAGTGGAAGTAGGTACTGTATCCCATTTTACAGATGAGGAAACTGAGGCACAGAGAGGTTAAGTAATGGAGATTAAACTATTAGTTGAGCCAAAAACTTTTTAGAAGGGAATATTTCCAGCTTTTCAATCATTGTTGCTATCTCTTCCATTCATCTGTATACAACCTTCATGATTTATGCCTTATATTCACAATATGTGCTATTATCTATGTATTATTTTTCTCTACTTGACTCACTAAAGGAATTTATTTTTTTTTTTAAGGCAAGAGCATTTCTTTTTATTTTTTTTAATGTTTATTTATTTTTGAGAGAGAGACACACAGAGCACTAGTGGGGCAGAGAAAGAGGGAGACACAGAATCTGAAGCAGTCTCCAGGCTTTGAGCTGTCAGCATAGAGCCCATCGTGGGGCCTGAACTCACAAACTGCGAGATCATGACCTGAGCCGAAGTCAGACACTTAACCGAATGAGCCACCCAGGAGCCCCGAGCATTTCTTTTTTAATGTTTACTTTTGAGAGAGAGTGAGAGTGAGAGAGTGCGAATGAGTCGGGGAGGGACAGAGAGAGAGGGAGAGAGAGAATCCCAAGCAGGCTCTGCACAGAGCCCAATGCAGGGCTCAGTCTCATGAACTGTGAGATCAAGAGTCAGATGCTTGACCAAATGAACCACCCAGGTGTCCCTCACCGAAGGACTTTAAAATCCTAAGCAAATGTTTGTGAAATCACAAGTACTGTGCAAGGTCTCTTTTCTGTCTTAACGCCAGTTAGAATAAACATCTAACAGTCAAATAAAAAATACTTGTGAACATCTAAAATGCTCTCAGGGATCACTAGTGGCAGGGGTATCACTTTTGAAAACACAGATTACAGTACTTACCACAAGCAGTGTTTGTGTAGCCCAAACTCACACAATTCTCTGATGAACAGTGGACTGTACATATAACTCATCTGGACAGATCGTGAAACCTACAAGACCCTCAAAACTGACCTTGTAGATAATCTCTCATTAGTTGCATATTGGAATATACTAAAACTTATATTGATTGATATAGCATCAATTTCTAATACCTCAAATTACCTAATTCCAATTTCTAATACCTAAAAATGGCAGCCAGCTAATTTCATATTTATCTTTGTTAGTTTAGGTGCACGAAATTGTCTACCCTCTTCTGAAAACACCAAGCTTTTCACTTTATTGTTATTTTTCACCTATAATTATATTTATGGCTGCTTTGGATGTGGACTTTTATATACTCAAGAATATGCTTTGGCAGGTAAGAACACATCTTAAAACAAATTATGGTCAGTCTTGTTTATGTTAGCAGAAAATATGTTTTGTCTATAAAGAAGATTAATAATTCACAAATCTCACATTTTTAGTTCTACCCTCCTTCTTCTGTGGAACCACTAAGTAAAGGGAATTGAAGAGAAGGGAGAAGGAATCTGTATTTGCTGAGTGACCAGTGTGATAAGGCACTGAGTAAATATTTCCATTTTATGTATCAACAAATCGTGGCTTAGAGGTCACAAACAAGGCTGATAAATGGCAGAACCTGAATTCTTCATCTCCACTATATCTGTAGATTTGCCCGTTTTCACTGCTAAAATTGTTTTATTTGTGGCTTTCTCTTTCTTCTTAATCATGCTTCCAGACGAGTTTATTTTTTCTTTCAAAGAATATTTTATTTTGTTTGGTTTTATTCTGTACTTTTTCTAACATCTTGAGGCAGACATTAGTTGATTGATTTTTAGGTTTCTTTTTTTTTTTTGTATTTTGTACATCTAAGGTTTAAAATTTTTCTATGACTACTCTTTTAGCTTCACCCACGTGTTTTGATTTTTAGTGTTTTCATTATCATCCCAAACCTATCTAAAATTTTTACTATACTTTTTTCTTTGACCTGTTGATTTTTTTTTTCCTTCATGTGTGGAAGAATTTTACTTGTTTGTGTATTTATTTGTTATTGAAGTGTAGTTGACATACAATATTATATTAATTTCAGTATATCACAGTGAGTTAACAATCACATACATATGAAATGCTCACCATGATGAGTGTAGTTACCATCTGTCATTCTACAAAGTTATTACAATATTAATGACTATCTTCCTTATGCTGTACTTTTATCCCTGTCACTTACTTATTTTATAACTGAAAGTTTGTACCTCTTTGGCCCCTTCGGCTATTTTGCCCACATCCTCCAGCCCTCTGATAATCCTCTGTTTGTTCTCTGTGTTATTGAGTCTATTTCTGGTTTTTGTTTATTTATTTATTTACTTTGTTTTTTAGATTCCACACATAAATGAAATCATATGGTATTTGTCTTTTTCTGACTGACTAATTTCACTTAGTGTAATAGGTGCATCCATGTTGTTGCAAATGGCAAGATTTCATTGTTTTATGTCTGTGTCTCTATATAAATGCCACATCTTCTTTATCCAACTTATCTATCAATGGACATTTAGGTTGCTTGCATATCTTGGCTCTTATAAATAATGCTGCAGTAAGGAGGGATGCATATATCTTTTTGAATTAGTGTTTTGTTTTCTTTGGATAAATACCTAGAAGTGGGATTACTGGATCTTATGGTACTTCTAGTTTTAGTTTTTTGAGGAATCTCCATACTGTTTTCCACAGTGGCTGCACCAATTTCCATTCCTACCAACAGCACAAGAGGGTTCCCTCTTCTCTACATCCTTGTGAACACTTATCCATTTCTTGCCTTTTTGATACTTGCCATTCTGACAGGTGTGAGGTGATAGCTTATTTTGGTTTTGATCTGCATTTCCCTGGTGACTTGTTATGTTGTCTTTTCATGTGTCTGTTATAAGCCATCAATGTGTCTTCTTTGGAAAAAAATCTATTCAGGTCCTCTGCCCATTTTTAATTGGATGATTTGTTTTTAACCCATTAATTACTTAGAAGTTATTTTAAAATTTCCAAATATGGTCTTTTATCGTTATTTCTTTTATCACATTATGACTAGAGAGTGTGTTTTGTATATCAACTCTTGTGGTTTGTGGAGATGTGCTTTGTGGCCTAGTACCTCACTTTTCCAAAATGTTCTTTGCTTTACAAGAATATACATTCTCCCATTGTTGAGTGCAGGGGTCTAAATTAGTTCAGTAGATTATTTTGTTTATTATGAAGTCTGGTTTCTATATCTTTGCCAGTGTTGTTTTTCAATTTAATATAACAAGCTTCCATTATAACTATGGATTTATCAATTTCTGCTTGCAATTCTGCTGGTTTTTACTTTATGTAAGTAGAAACTCTGTTATTAAGTGCCTACAAGTATTATTATTTTCCTAGTTAATTTTTTCCCATTATTTAGCTACCCTTTTATCCTAAATAATGCTCTTTGCCTTACATCAATTTCATCTGGTATTACTGTAGTTATACCAGCTTTCTTTTGCTTAGTATTTTCCTGATATAATTTTCCCATTCTTCCACTTATAAGATTTTGATGTCCTTATGTCTAGATTTTTTTTGATAATATATACTTAGATTTTGTTATTTTATCCATATTGAGAATCTCTGCTGTTTTACCAGGCACCCGGGTGACTCAGTCAGTTGGTGTCTGACCTTGGCTCAGGTCATGATCTCAAAGTTTGTGGGTTCAAGCTGGTGTCCGGCTTCAGAGCCTAGAGCCTGCTTTGGATTCTGTGTCTCCCACTTTCTCTGCCCCTCCCCCACTTGCACTCTGTCTCTGTCTCTCTCTCTCAATAATAAATATTTAAAAAAAATTAAAAACTAGCTTAATATTTATTGTGATTAAAAATAGATTTAGAAGGGCAAAATATTTTAACAGATTTGAGGCACCAAGGAAGATTGGATGGAAAACAGTGTTTAGAAATATGTTCCACACTGTTAAGCCATTGGAGAAATACAAATTAAAACCACAGTGAGGTACCACTACATACCTATTAGAATGGCAACAGCAGAAACAATAACAAGCCTGATAATAGCAAGTGCTGGTGAGAATGCATGAAAATGCAAAATGGTACAGCCACTTTGGAGAACGGTTTGGGAGTTTCTTACGGAGTTAAACATACACTTGCCATATGACCCAGTAATTCTACTTCTGTGTATTTACTGAAGTGAAATGAAAGCTTATGTTTACACTAAAACCTCTGTGTGAATCTTTGTAGCAGCCTTTTTCATAATCTGAAAAGTCTAGAAAGAACTCAAATGTTCCTCAGCTAGTGAATGAATGAGCACATTGTGATACATCTTACCATAGAATACCACCCAGCAACGAAAAAGGAACAGAGCTTTAATAGACACAACATAGAATTTCAAATGTCTTAGCCAAGAGAGGGAAACCAGACTCAAAAGGCTACCTATTGTATAATTCCATTCATAGACCTTCCTTCTAGCAAAGCCAAAAGAGTATGTTTGGAGAACAGATCATTTGTTGCCAGGCACTGGGGCTAGGGAAAGAAATTAAGTACAAAGGAGGAGCCTAAGGACAATTTTTTTTTTTTTTTTTAAGGTGATGGATCTGTTCTGTTTCTTAATTGTGGTCATGGTCACATGACTGCATGCATCTGTCAAGACACCTATAACTCCACATCAAAAGAATGAATTTCACTGCATGTGAATTAAAAATAAGTTAAAAAATCAAAAGAAATCGATTTGGGTTTATTTCTCACATGTAGTTTTGTACTTTGCATTTGCCATGCTTCACCTTTGCTTCTCCTTCAGCCTTCTCAATCAAGTTGAGTCAGTTTTCATTATTCTTTAATTCCTTCTTCTTGTTTAAGAGTTTTACATTGTTTCTATTTCTGAGGCAGACACTGCTAATTGCCCATCTGATATGCATTCTCTCTTTCTCTCATTAACAGAAATTTACTAGATTTTGCTTGGTATAGTGGTGGGCCCAGTGTGAAATATTCTGTTTCTCAGCAGGTGGTAGCTATGTAGCCTCAGAAAATAGTGTGGCTAATGAAATGTGCACAAAAGTTTGTTGAATGAGGCTTCTAGAAAGCCCTTAATAAGAGGGCCAAATCAGCTGGCATGTGGTTTTTGCCCTTTGTTTTTACCTCTCTTTCTGCGTGGAGCCCTGCAGATCAACACCAAGGAAACCAGGAAATGTTTTACACAGAAGCAGGAAACATTTGCATTCCATTTTAAGAACATTTTGATGTTGGGAACTATTAAGCCAGAATGACAACAAGAAAGATTAGTGAATTGTTCTTGTAACAGTAAGATAGAATCTCTCTTGTTTGGAAGGGATGGTTTCTCTGAGGCAGGTAACCCTAAATACCTTTCAAAGTTATTTTTTAGAGTAACTGTACAAAATGCATAACCAAGGTCTGATTCTTACCTAAGTAAATGTAGTCATGCCATCTTTAACTGTTAAATCTAATACTGTGTTATGAATTGGTTTCACAGGTCTTCCTAACAGGATTAATAAGCTTTGTTGTGGCATTCATCGTAATTGGATATGTCGTTCTGAAATTCAATGAAGAGTCATGGGATTTGCAATCTTGCCTACTCTTTAGCATGACCCTTGGCATTACAGATCCTATTTTTTCTGTGAATTCACTGAAAACTATTGGTATGTCAGATTTATTTCTCTCTCTTACATTTAAAAAAAATCTTTAAATATGAAATTTATTGTCAATTTACATTGAAGATACGAGGATAAATTATTTTTCTTTGGATCTTGTTTTGTTTTTGTTTTTTGCACAAATTGTGCATCTGGCAAGTAGATATTTATGCTATTTTTCTTGGCGATGGGGCATTGATGGACTTGAAAGATGCAATGCAAATAAGGCAATCCAAGATCTGGGATAAATACACCAATTGTAATCTCAAAGGATTTTTTTCAAGACGAAAAGTAACCTTTCTAGAAGGTGATAAAAATTAGCATTCTTATTCCATTCCACTGAATTCTAACCCTCAAGGTAGAAACTCTGCCATACCCCCAGTGAAACTCTTCTGAGGCCTTACTGTCTGTTGTTATAACTGCCTCCCTTTTGGACCAGCTAACGGTAAGCAGGTAGTGGAAGGGTGTGTAGTTTATTTAAAAGATCTTACTATGAGTAAGATCATAGTTTGGCAAACATGTTCAATAATAGCTTAGTCCTGGGGCACCTGGGTGGCTCAGTTGGTTAAGTATCTGACTCTTCGTTTTGGCTCAGGACCTTCTGAATCGTGAGATGGAGCCCCAGCATCGGGTTCTGCATGGACAGTGTGGAGCCTGACCCTCTCCTGCTTGCATGCTCTCTCTCTCTCAAAATAAATAAACTTAAAAAAAAGTAATAGCTTATTCCCAAGAGGGTTTGGGGACCTTCAGTACTTCCCCTCTTATTTGGTAAAAGATGATTTCACTTGGAAATATCCCCCTGTTGTCATGTTTTATTAACACAGCAGTAAAAAACATGAAATGGTTAGGTGCTCTGGTTTCAGTTTTTGACGAAGAAATATTTTCCTAACCAATTTTAAGGTATTGGTTATATTTAATGGAAATATATTGCCTTATGATTGGAACTGGAAACCTCCAACCAATCCGATAAGTGATCTTCCCAATTTTACACCCATTTACACCTGCTATTGGGAGAACATCAATTTTTAAGGTGGGAATACCCTAAATTGTCATATTTCTCAAAGAGTCTGATCCTGTCCTCTTTTCTTTCTCTCTCTCTATTTTCTTGAGAGGGAGAGAGAGACAGAGCACGAGCAGTGGAGGGCCAGAGAGAGAGGGGGACACAGAATTCAAAGTAGGCTCCAGGCTCCGAGCTGTCAGCACAGAGCCCGACGCTGGACTTGAACTCATGAATCTTGAGATCATGACCTGAGCCGAAGCTGGACACTTAACCGACAGAGCCACCCAGGCGCTCCTTTTCTCTATTTTCTAAGTACAATCTTTTTTTCTATTTTTCCTTTACTTGTCTTTCTCTTTCGGCCATTTGTATTTCCCAATTGTTTTATTCACCTTATTTTTTCCCTGCTCCCTTTTCTGAAACTCTTGACTATAAGTGCCTATAACAAACTATAAACTTTAATTATTTACTGCAGTTTCTATATTCAATTTTTTTCCAAAAAAGAAGTATAATAGAAAGTCTTCTATTTCTTTTTTTTTTAATTTTTAAAATTTATTTTTATTTTTATTTTTTGTGAGAGAGAGCACACACACGCACAAATGGGGTAGGAAGAGAGAAGGAGAAAGAGAATACCAAGCAGGCTCCACGCTGTGTGTGTAGCCTGACACAGGGTTCGATCTCACAACTTTGAGATCATGATCTGAGCCAAAATCAAGAGTCAAATGCTTAATCAACTGGGCTACCCAGGTGCCCCGAAAGTCTTCTATTTTTTAAAAAGAAAAACTAGTGAGGGTATTTGGCTCTTAGTTAATATTTTCTTTATGTCATTAATGCTCAAGGTGGTGAATGGGTTTTGGATCCAATAACAATTTTTCCTAATAAGACAAATTTGACTCATTTTTTGGGGGGGGGGAATAAATATCACTTTTGCTTATTTATGGTTTTGGCAGTCACCATATAGGCAATATATGTGAATTAGATAAATGGTTCTTTCTTCAAAACAGTTTACTTCTAATTGTCATAGTAATTTTTTAAGGAAAAATATTTTCTGCCATATGCCTAAAATTATCGTAATATACAAAACTAGTTCCTACAATGCAAATAGTGCTTCTTTTGATGTGATACCCTTGGGTACTGTAAATCCTGCACAGTCTGGGTGGCCTGACCTTTTGGAAAAAGTAGTGGATATTCACATGCAAGTGAAAAGGAACTTGTCTGTTCATTACCTGTTTGGAAAGAATGCATTGGGCTCAAACAATTTTTACTTTGAAACAAATCTGGAAATTTACAACACAGGACACAAAAGATATTGTAAAGGAAGCAGAGAAAGGGGAACATTTTTGTCCTGTTAGTGGGAATGCAAATTGGTGCAGCCACTCTGGAAAACAGTATGGAGTTTTCTCAAAAAGTTAAAAATAGAACCACCCTACAATGCAGCAATTCCATTACTTGGTATTTATCCAAAGGATATAAAAATACTGATTTGAAAGGGCACATGCACCCTTGTTTATAGCAGCATTATCAACAATAGCCAAATTATGCAAAGAACCCAAATGTCCATCAACTAGGTAAAGATGTAAGATATAGATATCATGGAACATTACTCAGCCACCAGAAAGAATCTTTCCATTTGCAACAATGTGGATGGAGCTAGACTGTATTATGCTAAGTGAAATAAGTCAGTCAGAGAAAGACAAATACCATGTGATTTTACTCATGTGGAATTTAAGAAACAAAATGGATGAACATAGGGGAAAGAACATAGAGGGAAGCAACCCATAAGAGACTCTTAACCGTAGAGAACAAACTGAGGGTTGCTGGAGCGGAGGTGGGTGGGGGGAAGAGCCAAACTGGGGATGGGTATTAAGGAGGGCATTTGTTGGGATGAACGCTGGGTGTTATATATAAGTGATGAATTGCTAAATTCTACTCCTGAAACTAATATACACTATATGTTAACTAAAATTTAAATAAAAACATGAAATATTTTTTAAAAACCCAAAAAGCAAATCTGAAATAGGACCTTGTAAAGGAATAAAACAAAGTTTTGGTATGATCTCAATTGAGTAAAAAGTTTATACGCTTACAAAAGACTTCAACATTAAAGTTGTATCTGAGCTGTGAAGCTGTTAGGTGGCTTTTGTTTTATTCTTTCCTTTTTCACATTTTTCAGTGAATTAGTGAGTATAAGTTCTACATTATGAGGGAGTAATTCTTGTGGTATTTTGCCATTAAACACAGCTACAAGGCAAATTCAATGCTTCATACTTCAGACCTTGCATTTTACTTGTTCCAGGTTGGGTCCCTGAATTTGAGGGAAGGATAAAAGGATTTCATGAGCAGCTAAATCAAATGTGCTAATAATCTCTAAATCTGTTTTGCCAGCATTTTTTTGTGGCTTCTGTCACAGTCAAAGCTAGCAACAAGTAGTAAACTGAATATTGGTTAGCAACCCTCTTGGGAGCTTCCCAGATGCAGTTTGAAACTGACCCCCATATGCAGAGGGGAGGGAGAGACTGAAGAAAGAGGCAGGTTGGTAGGTTTGTATAAGCAGAAGAAACTTACATACAAGGCTTGTCTTGGGTAGCAACAAGATGAAAGCATCCCTGCCCCTGCACTCCACATCTTAAAATGTATGTATTGGCCTCAACAGAGTCCAGTCATGTACGCTGTGCGGGGGTTCTGAACACCCATCACTATCTCAAGGCCATGTCCTTGGATCAGCCTCTGGGAGCAGGAAAGGCAAGTGGAGCTCACATTCCACTTGCTGAAGAGGGGATGAGGAGCCTCTAATCACCTCCAAGTCAGCAGGTCAACTGCCAGTCATATCTTCGTTCCCCAACAACAAGAGGATTATAACTTATCTTGCCAGTTGCTTTCTTTATTGGCTACAATAATGAAGCAAGAAGAACAGAAATAAACAGCCTGAATACATTGATCCACAGGCAGACACTGAGTAATTAGAAATTCTGTATAATCCTGTATATCCCATCATTCAGGAGACTTTGGGAAAGATGGATAGAATCTGAATATTCTGATGTTTCATATCCTCAGATCAAACACTGGAAAGCAGAGATTTTCTTTCTTTCAAACTACATATAGTGTTCTAGAAATAATAATAATAATAATAATAATAATAATAATAATAAAATAATAATAATAATACCCCAGCTATATATATTTAATTATTATGTGTTTCAAAAACACCAAAAGAAAAAAATTAGAATTTTAATCAGATCCAGTTCTGTTTGGATTTTTTAAAAAAGTGTCACCGTGATCATTTTGAATTTGATGCAATGGGATTATATTAAACAGATGCTTTTAGAAAATATGTAGTTTTGCAATCCTTTCTATATCAATTTTTAATTATATTAGGATGCATAATGTACTATTGTGTGTCATATGTTCTTAAATTTGGGGATTATGCCAGCTCCACAAACTCATCAGGGACACTGGGTCTCTCTGTTTATATATTCCTGTGGATATGGGGAAGGAAAACTCCTGAAGGAGCAGAGGAAACAACCCCTTTCATGTTTGTCACAGCCAGAGTGGAAAAACTTCATAATTCATGGGACATCAAGTAGAGGCCTTAGTAGCAGGGAAATTTTCCTTTAAACTAAAGGCTGCTCTGGTACTCTGTAGCAAAGCCTAAAAGCAAGTTATAAAAGGTTAAGCTATTTCCAAGTAATAACTGCTCTAGAACAAAAAATATTTATAGGAATACAAAAATATACAGCATCTAATAAGGTAAAATATACACTTCTGTCATGTGTAATAAAAAATTAGCAGGCATGCAAAGGAGCAGGAAAATATGAGTCATAAAAAGTACAAAATAATAAGTAGAAACAGATGCAGTAATGAGGCAGATGGTAGAATTACTAGATACAAACATTAAAGCAGTTATTGTAACTCTATTCTGTAGATTCAAAAAATTAGAGGAAGGATAAAGGCTGGGGTAAAACTTACTCCTGTCATCTTGTGAGAGCCCGTTGTTAAATAACCACAAATTTTGCAAGCCAGTTGTTAAACCATCAATAACTTCAAATTGGCTATGATGGAAGTATTTATACATGAAATTGGCAAATGCTACAAATCAGGTGTTTTTGTTTTTGTTTTAATTTTGGAGAGGTGGTTTATCAGCATACCACTGGTAGATATAAAAAAAGACCTAAATCAAACTTCTAGAGATGAAAAACACAATACCTAAGGCAAAAATTCCACTGGATGGAAGTAGATTAGACACTGTAAAAGAAAGTATTAGTGAACTTGAAGGGGCAGCAATAGAAACTATCCAAAACAAAGCACATGGAGAAAATAAGTGAAAAGAACATTAGTGAACCGTGGGACAACTTCAAGTGGTTTGATATACAAGTCCCCAAAAAAGAGGAGAAAGAGTGGGAGAAACAAAAAAATACTTGAAGAAATAATGGATGAAAAATTCTGAATCAAGAAGCTCAACCTACATGAACCCAAGAAACATAAAACTACACTATGACATAAAAATCAAGTTCCTAAAAATATCTTAAAGGCAGACAGAAGGGGAGACACATTATATACAGAGGAACAAAAATAATAATGACTTCTTTTCAGAAACAATGCAAATGAGAAGATGGTGGAACAACGTTTTTAAAGTATTAAAATAAAAACTTAGAATCCTCAGTGGAAATATATTTGAAAAGCAAAGGTAAAACACCTTCTTAAACATACTGAAACTAAAAGAATTTATCATTAGCAGATCCTCACTATTAAAAGATGATAAAGGAAGTCAGGAAGAATGAAACTGGTACCAAATAGAAATTTGGATCTACATAAAGGAATGAAAAGCCTGTAATTTGTAAACATATGGGAAAATATTTTTTTCCTATTTTTATTTTTATTAGAAAATTTTTTTCTAATGTTTATTCATTTATTTGAGAGACAGAGAGAGACAGAGCATGAGTGGGGGAGGGACAGAGAGAGAGAGAGAGAGAGAGAGAGAGAGAGAGAGACAGAATCCGAAGCAGGCTCCGGGCTCTGAGCTATCAGCACAGAGCCTGGTGTGGGGCTCAAACTCATGAACCTGTAGATCATGACCTGAGCCAAGTCGGCCGCTCAACTGACTGAGCCACCCAGGTGCCCCTGACTTTTTTTTCTTATTTTTAAATCTATTTAAAGTATAATATTTAAAGCAACAATGATAGCAATCTACCTTGGGTTTAATTTCTCTGCTCCTCCATTCTTTGTGTGTGGCTTCTACTCTCAGGATCACAAGTTGGCTGCTAAAGTTCCAGTCATCACACCCACATTTCAGGCAAGGAGAAGAGGAAAAGGGCAAGGGACAGAGAGATGCTTCTTTCAACCAAGTCACTTCTCCCTCCAAGAAATTTCCCCAGAGTCCAACTTGGTAACTTCCACTTATATCTCAGTGGCTACTCTTTGAAGCCCAGGATGTGAGGGGAAATGGTCATTTTGCTGAACACAGTGCCACCCTGGATAAAACCAGTTTTGTTACCAAGAACAGAGGATGGATACTGGTTGGGCGAGTACCAGTCACTATCACCCTACTCATAAGTTGTGTATCACTAAGCAATTAATTTGATTATATTTTCCATTAAACTTAACTATTTGTGGATGCTAAGTGCCAATAAGATTTTGTACTGAATTAAAATTTTTTAAAAACAGCTTTTTTGAAATATAATCCATGTACCATAAAATTTATCCTTCTAAAGTGTACACTTCAGTGATCTATAATATATTTACAGAGTTATACAACCATCATCACCATCTAATTTTAGAACTTTTTTTTTTTTTGAGAGAGAGAGCACACGAGCAGGGGAGAGAGGCCGAGGGAGAGAGAGAGAGAGAGAGAGAGAGAGAGAGAGAGACGGTCTTAAGCAGGCTCCACACTGGGTGTGATCTCATGACTGTGAGGTGAAATCCAGAGTCTAACTGACTGAGGTACCCAGACACCCCTGGAGCAGTTTTATCACCATAAAAGAAATCTCCTGGCCATTAGCAGTCACATCTAATTCCCCTATTCCAAGCCCCTGGCAACCAACCACTAATCTACTTTCTGTCTATAGATTTGCCTATTCTGGACATTTCATACAAGTCAAACCATACAATATGTGTTTCTTGTGTTTGTCTTCTTTCCCTTTTTATAATGTTTTCAAGGTTCATCCATGCTGTAACATGTATCAATCAGTACTTCCTTCTTTTCTGTGGCTGAATAATTTGATTGACTATTACAAATAATGCTGCTATGAACATTCATGTAAAATTGTGTGGACGTAGGTTTTCAATTCTCTTGAGCATATGTCTAGAAGTAGAATCGCTGGGTCATCCTTTGTACTTATTTCTAAAATGTGATTTTTGTGGAGTCGAATGACTTCTGTTTATTCAAGCTAAATATTGTGTCACGCTGAGAAGTACTTTGTCTCATTCTAAAACTCAAGCATGGTTTGAGGCCATGGACACTTCAGAGAATGCTAATGTCATGTTCCCTTGTCGTTGGAGATATAAAAAAAAGCACATGAAGAAATTAAAAATGGTGGTTGCCTTACAGACCCATCCCAGTCATGGCTGTTTTCTTTCTGTCAGCATATTCCTTCTCTTTTATTTTTGTGTTTCCTGTGCAAGAGCATCATTTTCATGTACCAAATTAAATTACATTTTATATTTCCTTTTCCAGGCATTTCCAAAATGTATACTGATATCATAAGAGGAGAATCAATGATAATTTGTGGCTTCACATCCATACTTTTTGGACTTTTTCGGAACAACTTACTCCACATTTCCATACTTAGAGGTAAGAGCATTTATTTTCCTGTGAATATTTTCTAAGGTGTGAGTGCATTATTAAAAATTGTTTATTTATTTATTTTGAGAAAGAGAGAGTAAGTGTGCATGAGAGAGAGGGGCAGAGAGAGAGAGGGAGAGAGAGAATCCCAGGCAGTTTCCACATTGTCAGCACAGAGCCCAACGTGGACCTTGATCTCACAGACAGTGAGGTCATGACCTGAGCTGAAATCAAGAGTTGGACGCTTAACTGACTGAGCCACCCAGGTGCCCCTCCTCTGCATATTTTCTAAAATCATTCTTCTATGATGCATTTCAATTCACACCAAAGTTAAAATACATTCAAGATGTCTTAACTTTACTGCATTCTCTATATTTTACTTTTGGACCAGTTAAAATAGCATATATCAGATAACAAGAAAATAATTACCATATATATGTTTTCTTGGACAGTATGGGGGAAAGAATGGTAAAAAAATGATTTAGTTTCTCTCCCCACCACACACACATCATCTGGCTCCAAGTAACTGCTTTCCTGGATCAATCTGGATCTCAGTGAGTGGATGTTAAGAATTGATTAGGGGCACCTGGGTGCCTTAGTGGGTAGAGCATCTGACTCTTGATCTCAGGGTCATGAATTCAAGCCCCATGTTGGTGTGGAGCCTACTTAAAAAAAGAAAAACAAAAATGGACTTGATCCTGGATTTGAGCCTGAGGGTGAAGGCAGAATGTGATAGTTTTAGGAGGAGAGAGGTGCTAAAAGGAGAAAGAAATATTGGTGATAAAGAGGGGTGTGCAGTGCTTCTCAATGGGGAGCTATAGGCATTTGGGGTGGGACAATCTTTGTTATTTAGGACTGACCTTGGCATTGTCTGACACCCGCTGGCTGACTGCCATTGTTGCCCCCAGTTTTGGTGACTACAGAAAATTTCTCTTCTCCATTTCCCAAATGCCCTTGGGCTGGGGGTCACAAATGGACTTCAGATTGGTGGGGACCCTGGACACGATTTGCTTGGCCCTAATATAGTATGTAAACAGTTTGAATTTGGATGGTTTTTTGGTCAGAGATTCACTTTCTAGTTTGTTACAGGCTTTTCACTTGCCTGGCTTCTGAGGACATTTGAGTCTGCTCTTCCTGGATAAGCAAACCTCAAGCTACAGACCATTAGGGAAATGTCCCCAGAAAGTCTGTTTTACCAGGCTTTCCTGAAACTCCCACTTGCTGAAGGACAAGGTCCCCATTCAAAATCTCAAAAGCAAACCAAAGCACATAGACCCATCTGCCATCAATGAAAGAAACGAAAGTTACAGTTCAACTTCTGTTCTTTCTTATTTTCTTTTTCTAGACTTACATGTAATCACAGGCCTCTGCTTGGGCATCTTTGGAAGCATAATATGTGGATATTCGTGTGCAAGAATCATTCAGTTTATATTGACTGACCTCTTTAGCAATACACTAACTAGTGTCATTCTTTGCATTTCAATGGTGTACCTGACTTTCTACGTTGGTAAGGCAGAAACAAATACAAAAAAATGCTGCCCTCAAAGTGAATTTTATGTACTTTTCTTCTTCGTTGATCTTGAATCATTTGCTTCTTCCTAACTGCTTCCCCCTTGTTGCAGCCCCTCTGTGCATCTTGTCATGTTATTCTTCTGCTACTTCTAGCTCTTTCCTACTCTCTCTTAACATCTCCTTAATTTCAACCTCACGTCCCTTCCCTTTGCATTATTTCTCTATGTAATTACTCTCTTGCTCTTTTTTTTTAATTAAAAAAATGTTTATTTATTTTGAGAGAGAGAGTAAGCAAGGGAGGTGCAGAGAGAGAGAGAATCCCAAGCAGGCTCTGCACTGTCAGCGCAGAGCCCAGCTAAGGGCTCAAATCCACCAACCACGAGATCATGACTGGGCCAAAATCAAGAGTTGGACACTTAATTGCCTGAGCCACCCAGGCACCCCTCTCTTATTCTTTTTGAACTCTACCTTTTGACCTTACATTTAGTCATTGGCAGTCCCCTGGAATCAGCTCAGTGCTGATTCCTGCTCTGACCCTTAGCAACCCATCTCTAAAATGAGAGAACCAGGAGAGATGCTCCTGAGGTCTTTGCAGCTCAGCTGCCTTTCATTCCATGGGCTTCACAATGAGGGGCCTGTAGGAATGGCGGCCCTCACCAGAGGCTAAGGGGCAGGAGAGTAGAGGGAGAAATCAGGTAGGTATACCTGTATCTGGAAAAGAAGCAGGAAAGTAGAATAATCGTAGGAGTCAAAGTGCCTAACTGGTAGACCTGCAATAATTTGCTAGTTTAGTCCAGTGGGATTGGCAATTAAGGATTTTTACTAGCCTGATTGAGCTAACCAGTCCCCAAGAGCCATAGCAACTGCATCGAAACAGTCAAATCCTGCTTCTGCTCTCACCCCACATAGTGGGGCAACTTACAACCATGAAAGACCTGAAGCATCAAAAGCTTAATTACTCTTGTCATCTCCAGTTACCTAAAAGCTCTGCTTCCGCTCTAGGTAGATTGCCACCTGGGACTTGCTTACTGCCCTGAATCAGTAAAAGTACAGAAGGCGTTCACTGAATGGTCATTTCCTTCAGATTCCTAATTTTCTTTTTTTTTTTTTTCTTCTCCCTGTGAAACTTTTATGGATGCCTTAAATATCTGGAGAAAAAAATTTTAAAAATTAGTATTTCCATTTCTTCCACCAGATCATGAGTTCCTTGATGTGGAGGCTGTCTCTTTTTCATCTTTTTATTTATTCTCTTTTCTGTGTTCTCCCAGCCAACCCCAGTGCTTCCTATATGCCTGAAAGTAATTTGACACATGTTGGTTGAATACACTGATACTAGTCCTTGAAGCGTTTTGGAGTTAGGCAGACTTGAATTCAACCCCCACCTTCACAATTTATTAGCTTGCTGACCTTGGAATATTACTTAACCTCTCTAAGCTTTAGTTAGTTTCCTTATCTATAAAAGTGATATAGAAACACCTAGCCTATAGGGGTACTCTTGGCACTAACAAGATAATGTATGTCCAATGATTTGCTCATGCTGATAGGCTGGAGACAGCTCTTAGCCGCTTGCGACAGCTGACTGTACACATCTCTTTCACAGCTCTGTTCAAGTGACATCATGTTGAAATTGGTCATATTGCGAGTATTTACACCATGGAAATTGGCAGACACTGTCCATCAGGGACTTTTAAAAACTCGTTTAACCTCCGGAGAGCTGCTTTTAAACATTTACTAGCTCACCACTGAACTCAAGTTCGGGCAGCTAACAAACTGGTTCCCTTCCACTTTCCTTCTGAAAGAGGGAGGTGCTTCTGGTCAGTGCTTGGGAGGCCTGGACTAGATTGTCCCTTTCAGTCTCAGGAGAAACCACTGCTGAGGGAGGCTTGATGTTGGACCTGTGGCCTCGGGAGCTTGTGAGGCAATAAATTCCTGTTGTTTAAGATAGTTTGTGGAACTCTTTTTCAGCAGTGCCAGGAAACTGATATTCTCCCTCCTCCATTGCACTTTCCTCTGCTTCAGGGATTAAAAAACCACTTTGGGTGGTCCTTTACTCTTATGTTTAATTATTTCAGTGGTAGACATGTTAACACGAGAAGTTCCATTGCCAGAAATTCCATTGCTAAACACAGATAAAATTCTAATGCACACACTCTCCAATGTTACATTTCTGTTATGTTATCTAATTTTGTTTTTTTTTTCCCCTTTGCTAATGAACACTCAGTCAACTGGCTAAAGCCCAGGGAGCCTCTGATTGAGGTTACAGTGTCACCTCTTTGAGCACATACAGTAATTTCCATTTTTGTCTCTGTTGTGTTCAGTTCATGAAACCTGGACTTGTATAAAAATATTCATTCTTTTCCATGAAACAAAACAAAACAAAACAAAAAACAAAATAAATGGCACAGACATTGCCTCACAAAAGGCACAATGCTTCTGGAACATTGTTGGTTCACAGGTAGTGCAGTTCGAAATATTCATATATCAGCCCATGGAAGAAAGTTTGAATTTAGGACAGAAAAGGCACTTTAAGAGTCAGTGTATAATTCATGAAACATGGTAGGTTTTATAAAAGCCAGAGGTGTACCAAGAGAGGGGCTTAATCTAAGCATGAGGAATATTATATCAAGTGATGTTATTCACAATTTCTGGGGAATGAAGATAATAAAGAGCAGACAACATTTAAAGTTTCATTGTTTTAAAACTCTCTACAAACAATGCATCTCCTTCTTGCCTGTGCTGATGCTCTCCAGTGTCTCTTTGTATAGTCATTGGTCTAGATTATAAAGGCCCTCTGTCATCATCCAAATATATTTTAGTTAGAAATACATCCAGTCTTGAATCCTGGTGCTTTTAGGGAAAAAAAATTTCCCTTTGATTCTCCTTTTAGGGGGACCTTCACTTTTTCTAAACCAGAGAGAGGAAGAGAGAGACAAAGATTGAGAGAGCCACTTGTCCACAGCATCAGTTCTCTGTGGTAGTTTTTTTCCATTGAGTCAGAAAAACATTGAGTTCCATATGACTACTGGGGTTCGTGCTGATGAAAATTACTTTCTTTATTACATGGTCCATGATTTTTCCCCCCTTCAGAACACTTAGAATATTATTGAATATAATAGCATTTGTAATTTTGTAAAAATGTCACCTAATTATAAGAGTAATGCATGTTTATTGTAGAATTTTGGAAAAATTCTGAAAAGTCAAAGAAAAAAAATCACCAATAAACCTATGTTATAAATTAGACTATGGATACATTTTGGTATTTGTCCTCAGCCTTTAAAAAATACATATAAACACACATACATATATTAATGTATGCATTCATACCATGTAATCTATAACATTGGGATTATATGAAATAAGATGACATCAGTTTTAAATTTTTTTCATGTTTGTTAATTTTTGAGGGAGAGACAGAGCATGAGCAGGGGAGGGGCAGAGAGAGAGGGAGACAGAGAATCGGAAGCAGGCTCCAGGCTCCGAGCTGTCGGCACAGAGCCCGACGCGGGGCTCGAACTCACAAACTGTGAGATCATGACCTGAGCCGAAGTCGGTCACTCAACCGACTGAGCCACCCAGGCGTCCCAATGACATCAGTTTTAAATAACGTCATTTACTGGTTTCCTCATAGCAGACGTTGTCTCCAAGTACTGTCTATTACTGAGAAAGATGACCTTTAAAATCCAGTAATACTGGAGCACCTGGGTGGCTCAGTTGGTTTTGGCTCAAGTCATGATCTCACGGTTCGTGGGATTGAGCCCCTCATGGTCTGTCAGCACAGAGCTTGCTTGGGATTCTCTCTCTCTCCCTCTCTGTGCCCCTCCCCTGCTCATGCTCTCTCTCTCACTCTCAAAATAAATAAATAAACTTTTAAAAATAAAATAAAACAAAATACAGTAATACTAATTATGGGACAGGGGAACTAAGATTTTGAGAGACAATTTCCCTTTCAGCACACTTCTGAGCACTACTGGTTTTACTGTCATTTGTTATTCATATTATATCAGTTAGATAAGAAGGTAAAAAGAAATCTGGGGCGCCTGGGTGGTTCAGTCGGTTGAGCATCCGACTTCGACTCAGGTCATGATCTGGTGGTTCATGGGTTTGAGCCTGTGTCGGGCTCTGTGCTGACAGCTCAGAGCCTGGAGCCTGCTTCAGATTCTGTGTCTCCGTCTCTCTGGGCCCCTCCCTCGCTCATTCTCTCTCTCTCTCTCTCTCTCTCTCTCAAAAATAAACGTTAAAAAAAAAAAAGAAATCTAAAGTGGACTGAAGTGATTAGATACACCAAAGGAATAATAAAATCCTCTTCAAATAAACAGTATTAATTTACTAAGCAGTAAAGCAGATGTATAAAAACAATGGCATAATAATAGTGACTATCATATATATATACTTTTTTTTATTTAAAGAGGTGCCAAGCAATTTTCATGTTATTTAATTTAATCCTCACAACAACTCTATGAGGCATTATTCTCTTAAACCCATTTTACAGATGCAGGGGTGCTAATAGAGGAAAAGGAGGTCACATTCTCAGAGCAGTCAGGTCTGCCTTGCTCCAAAGTGCTTCAAATTTCTGTCTATTATTTATCAGGCATCCATTCATTTACATATTATCTATGGCTGCTTCTGCACTACAGCCGCTGAACTGAGTAGTTGCAACAGGGACCATGTGGTCCACAAAGACTACATATTTACTATATGGTCCTTTACAAAAAAGTTTGCTGACCCCTAATCTACAGGATTAGGCCAATCCCTTGAGGCAATTTTCCAAAAAATAGGACTCTTCAGTTTCTCACCAATTCTTCTCAAGATAAAGTACCTCCATGTGCAGATTTGAATGCAACTAATTTTGTTCACTTTTTTCTCTCCAGTGGAATTTTTGGGAATGTCAGGAATGATTGCGTTAGTCACTGTAGGACTGAATTTAGATTCCTTAAGCTTTAAACCGAGGATTGAGTTAACAATTACTAAGTAAGTCTCCTATTGTATACTTGGTATAGATATCTTAGAAGTTTAGTGCTTAAGTGGTTCTGCCTTCTTGGACACATTTCATAACTTTTTTCACCTTTTTCTTTTTAAATTCATTACCAGTTATACTTGAAAGAACTTAAGGTACCAACAATTGTTGACATCGACACGTTTAACAAAAAAGACTACAAACAGCATGAAGCAAAAATTGGCAAATTTTAAAGGAGAAATAGACAAACATTATATCTGAGATTTTTAAAAAAATTTTATTTTTTAAAATTTACATCCAAATTAGTTAGCATATAGTGTAACAATGATTTCAGGAGTAGATTCCTTAATGCGCCTGACCCATTTAGCCCATCCCCCCCCCACACCTCCTCCAGTAACCTTCTGTTTGTTCTCCATATTTATGAGTCTCTTATGCTTTGTCCCCCTCCCTGTTTTTATATAATTTTTATTTCCCTTCCCTTATTTTCATCTGTTTTGTCTCTTAAAGACCTTATATGAGTGAAGTCATATGATACTTGTCTTTCTCTGACTGACTAATTTCACTTAGCATAATTCCCTCTAGTTCCATCCATGTAGTTGCAAATGGCAAGATTTCATTCTTTTTGATTGCCGAGTAATACTCCATTGTGTGTGTGTGTGTGTGTGTGTGTGTGTGTGTGTGTGTGTGTATACCACATCTTCTTTATCCATTCATCCATCGATGGGCATTTGGGCTCTTTCCATACTTTGGCTGTTGTCGATAGAGCTGCTATAAACATTGGGGTTCATGTGTCCCTTTGAAACAGCACACCTGTATCCCTTAGATAAATACCTAGTAGTGCAACTGCTGGGTTGTAGGGTAGTTCTATTTTTATTTTTTTGAGGAACCTCCATACTATTTTCCAGAGTGGCTTCACCAGCTTGCATTCCCATCGATTGATATTCTTTTTATGAATAACGTATCTGTGGCTCAGAAGCTGTGGTCATTTTATACATAACTCTTTGATAAAAAAAAAATTACTTTGGATTGTGGGAAGTTTAAAAAAGACTGCATTCCTTTGTTTCCTTCATAAGGTACATGAAAGACAGCATCCTAATATGGGAAGAGCTGGGAAAGAAAAGTAGCAGAAAAATGCAACACTAGCAAAACTCTTACTTGCCTTTTACATTTGGTAATGCAAGGTGTCATATGAACATCTCTGGATGGAGGGAAAAACCATTTGCTTGTCTTCTCAGATAAATGAATTAGTCTGTCTCTGAGAGACTATGCTAAATTACAGGATTGTTTCAGAGTTATTTCACACCAAGTCATAGCCTAGTGTGGATCGAATGAAACCAAATGTTAAAATAAGAAAAATAAGCCATAATTTTGAGTTTTCCCATGAAGATTCCTTAAAAAACTTTAAAAATTTTTTTAAATATCTATTTATTTTTGAGAGAGAGAGTGTGAGCAGGGGAGGGGCAGAGAGAGAGGGAGACACAGAATCTGCAGCAAGCTCCAGCTCTGGGCTGTCAGCACAGAGCCCGATGTGGGACTCGAACCCACAAACTGTGAGATCATGACCTGAGCCAGTCAGATGCTCAACCGACTGAGCCACCCAGGTACCCCAGATTCTCTCTCTCTTTTGTTTTTTTAAATGTAGAGGACTATCCATTGTTCTGAAATTATGGCTTGCCTACATTTTTGGTGTTTAAATGTTCATTCTTTAATGAAATCCCAGTGATAGAAGATGGTACTTTTTTTTAGAAAAATAACTTCACTTGGCAAAAAAAAAAAAAAAAAAAAAAAAAAAAAAATTGGCACCTGTAACTCTTCTAATTTTGTGTTAGGTGAATGACACTTAACTGGTCTTTAGAATCCAGAAGCTTGGGAATAAATAGTTCACAGAACATACACTTTTTGTCTGAATTTGGACATTTTCCTGAGCTCAGTCATACTGTCAGTATCATTATAAATTACTCATTATGATTCATTTAATTGTTTATTATTGAACCTATAAAACCAATCTTTTCTTAATGTTTACCGTAACCTGGACATTGTATCTTAGGTTTGAGGCTTTGTAACTGAGTCCCTTCTCAGAATGCACTCATTGTTAAGTGGTGGGCATGTTTCTGTAAGAAGCTAGTAAGCATGAATAATTTTATATATTTATTGGGATCCTACTATATGTAAGGCAGTTTTTTAGGTTCTATGGAGACATTTGAACAAGTTTTCTACTCAGTTATTCCATCATTTCTGAATTTCAGAAAACTAAGCTTTGGGGTTAGAGGTCCCCCTCATACCCTTCCTTTCTCTGAGTTCTAAATCTGATGAATCAAGAGCTGGGAATGAGAGAATCAGACCATCTACTTAATTGGGGAAATGCAGTGTTAGAGAACATGGTTTCCATCTGCAGCCCAAATGAGGCTTCCTAATGCTTCTTTCCGAGTGTAGATCTTGAGACCCACCTCGAGGGAGACTGGTTTGTGGAACAGACCCACTTGCCTAGTTAGCTGAAAGGGAAAGTCCCAATGGAGGGAGGCCCAAGAGCAAGTGGAACTTGACATCTGCCTGTAGAAGTCAAACCTGGCTTGGATGCAGACATGTTACCGCACGGAACCAGAACAGGCCTGTGCCTTAACCACTGTGTTCTAGTCTGCTCAGTAAGAATCTTGGGGAGCAGGGCTAGGTGTGTGGCTGTTTGGGAAGCAATAAGGGGGATTCTAAGTCACTTGTCTGCTTCTGAACTATGGTGGTATAGAATTGGCACTGTAGGAATTCAAAGGAGGATCACTTCCAACGAGAGTGCTTAGGATGAAGAACACAGGATTCGAATTAGCCTTACAAGATTTTTAGGAATTCAGTAGATGGGAAAGCAGACTGGAGAGACTTTCAAGGTAAGAGACTTTCAAGAAAATCATGAAGGGAGAAATCCTGCAGAGGGCACTGAAGTGATCCAGTCAGCTATCGAAAAGTCAAGGTTAACCAGGTAGTTCTGGGTTCAGCTGCGGCAGCCCCAACAGTTTGATATGATGCCGGCTAATCTTGGCAAAACTGCCCCATCACCAACCGGAAGAGGGGGTGGAGATTCTTAATATTATGCCTTGCTTTTACTATTCTCCTATGAGAGGCAGCCCATGGGCATTGGTGTGATGAGGGTATTGGAGAATATGGAGCTAGGTGTATTTTAATTCCAACAAAATACTTTTAAATGTTGACTGCAACAGTGATGGAGGCAAGGACCTCTGCTAAGACAAGAATCATAGAATGTGATACATGCTTTTATGTGCAAAGGCAACTATCTTAAAAACACATGGCTTAAAACATGATTTATTTTCCATTCATCCTAGGTTCCTAATAATGTTTTCAACTGTATACCAACAATTAATATATACTTTCTTTGGCATTGTAATTGGATGTGGACAAAACAAGTATTTGGGATTTCACAGTTTGGTTTTCATGTTAATTTTATTTACAACAGTGAATTTTGTAAGGTAGGAATTATATTTTAAAGTTTGCTTACTGGACTTAGGTTCTTCAGCCCAGAATAAGAATTGCCCACTGGTGAGGGCAACAAGAACTCTTTGGATGTGGAGTCAGAAAACCCATGTTGTTGTCAAGTCCCAGACAATAACTTGCTATGCGATTGGGGGAAGTCTGTTTACTTTTCCAGGTCCCATCTGGAAAATGAGAAGGGGCTGTGGTATCAGCACAACTCATGAACTTTATAGAGATGAAAATTCATGGGCCATCTCAATGTACTGAATTGCATCTCTGGAGATGAGATCCAGGAAGCCATTTCAACATGTTTGTTAATGGTTGAACAACACTGGACCTTATTAATGGCTCCTAACATTTTTGTTGACTTTCATCCTCATTTATTATCACCTATAGCTATGATAAAGCCATTTGTTAAGCCCTTACCATGTACATTATGCCATTAATACTAACACAACCTTATGAAGTAGGTGTTATTGCATCATTGCACAGATGAAGCCCAGGGAGGTTAAAAAGTTGCCTAGAGTTGCCCATCTTGAAGTGCAGAATTGGGGTTTAAACTTGACCCCCAGTAGCACATTTTCTCTCGAACACCATTGCCCACTCGTGATGGTCATATCTTCAATAAGAATTCATGACAGTGTCTCTGAAAACATTGTCATTCCCACTCAGAACAGGCCTGGCCAACGAGCTTACTTTATAAGATGTTCTCATGGGACCTTGCTTTTGCTGACTCTGAGGTCACTGCATGCCACTCAGTCACTCTCACACGGAAGGATGTGTATGCAATTTGTTTCTTTCTACCATGGAGGCTTATGTGCAAGTTGAGATTGGTCACAGAAAATGAAGAAAGATAAATGGCTTTTGAACCTTTGTTTGACTCAGCTGCACATCTGGCATCTCATTTCATTTCATAAACACTAGGAAATGAGAATTTTATAGATGAAGAAACTGGCCAACAAAGGCCAAGTACCTTGCCCAAAGTTAAGTGGCTAGGGAGTACTAGAGATCTTGTGGGAACTTATGGTTCCACCTCCCCAGAGGAAAGCCTTTAATGGAAGGAGTCAACCTAAGGGGACCTCAACGTATGGGTCAGCTTTCCATAAGAGACTTGTTGAGAAAAACATTTTAGAGGATGTGCCAGACTAAGGCCCCTTACATAATTACATAAGACATAATTATTGCTAACATGTTTTGAGTGCTGACCACATTCGAAATATCATTCTAAGCCCTATGAATGTTGCCCCATGTAATTGAAACTTCACAATAATCCTTTGAGGCAAGTACAATTATTATTATGTATTATCTCCACTTTACGGGATGAAATTGAGGCTTAGAGAGGTTAAAGAACTTAAGTTTACATGGTTAGTGAAAGAAGCTTAAATTTGAACCCTGGTAGATTGACTCCAGAGCCTTTGCGACACTGCCTTTCTGGTTTTGGTATCAGGCAGTGATATGAGTTGTTCCATTTTGGCTGGACTCAATGGTATTTCAGAGAAAGATCATTTAGTAAGGCTGAAAAGTTTGGTAAGAATTGCTTTGCAAAAAGCTTGAATGGAAGGCCGAGGGGTTTACCCAAATTCATTATATACATTATAGATGGTAATAGCAGATTTTCTGTTTCTCAGTGATAGGAATTCTCTAAACTGTCTTGTGAAATTCCCAGCTGAGTAACTGATACACAATATATTTTTTGAGTCTAAGAACATGTCAGTTTTATTTCTGCTGAAATCTCATTTGAGGGATAGTACTGATATTCTTTTGGTGAAGATCCCCTAAAGGTAGATTCTACATTTTTGATACAGAGTCTTATAGAAAAATTATTAGTAGACACTTGTGGTGAGCATAGCATAAGAATAGAGTTTTTGGATCACTATGTTGATAGTGGGTCAACTATTCTCAAATTAAAAAAAAAAAAAGAAAAGAAAAATGATCTCTAGAGAACTAGGCACCGATTGAAATTGTTTATATGACATTTAATTTATGATTCTCATGGAAGCTCAAGAAAAATTTGATTAAGCTAAGTTTATTAATGTGCCTACAATAATAATTACTTTTCGGCCATCATCTGTGTGTCCTCTTGGCCTCATTTCTGATCTAGTCATGGTCTTCCAGGGAATAGATGAGCTTGTCAACGTTATTTGAAGAAATTTCTCTCAGAAATACACTACCCAAATCCAAATAGTATGTTAAAACTTCCAGCAGTTTTTTTGAGACTTGAGTATTATATGAAAAACTTAGACAGTAGATTTGGTTCATCCCAGAAAAGTTGAACAATTTATCAATAAACTGAATTATTTTCTCTTTCCTGAAAAAAATTTCTATGAAATTTAGTTTTTAGTAGTGTCAACCATGAATAACATTAATACATAAGGTGTGACTTAAAAAAAATGTTTTTCTCTCCACAGGTTGCTTACTATTGTGTTAGTGAGCCCTCTTCTGATGCGTGTAAATTATGACTATAACTGGAGATGGGGAATTGTTATAGCATGGTCTGGAATTAAAGGAGTTTTTAGTTTACTCTTGGCTCCTGAAATTCATAATCTGGCTGATCAAAAAATAGAATCACCACAAATGGTAGGAAAAATCATCTCATAATATTTATTCATTTTGTTTATTTTGTAGCACTTGTCATAGTACCCAATAATAAAGTTAACCATTTACAAATTTTTTTAGTTTAAATTCCAGTTAGTTAACATACTGTGTAATATTAGTTTCAGGCGTACAATTTAGTGATTCAACGCTTCCATACAATTCCCAGGGCTCATCACAAGTGCACTCCTTAATCCCCATCACCTATTTTACCTATTTTCTCTCTTCTGTTCAGCTTCCTTGCTTTCCATTATTTTGTCTTCTTTATCACTTATTTGTTTCTCTACTTCTTCCAGCTTTGTGTTCATTGCATCAAGCCTGTTTCCAATCTCAGTTATTAAATTTTTCATTTCTGACAGTTTCTTTTTTAACTCTTTTGTCTCTGTGGTAAGGGTCTCCCTGAAGTCTTTCCATTCTTTTCTCATAAGAGTATACTTATGATTGTTGCTATAAATTCTCGATCAGTCATGTTACTTATATCTGTTTTAATTCACTGTCTTCTTCTCTGTGTTAGAAAAGCCAGTTTCCTGCTCCTGAGAGTAATGGCTTTATGAAGAAGAGGTCATATAGTGTCCAGGGCCTGTCACTTCTTGGGGTGTCTGTGGTGCATGTTGCATGAGCTCTGCTGTTGTGTTTTGGCTGCTCTATCCTTCGGGTCAGCTGTCTGCAGAGGCTCTCCTTGCCTGCAGTGGCCACTCTTTGGTCCTTGGTCAGAGTGTGGTGAGTTTTAACTACATGTGCTCTGGTCTGCTTGTTAAATAATACCTGATACTGCTTCCAGTAGAACCGAAGCCCTGTAGAACTCTCTGATCAGGAGACATGGTGTGAGCAGGGGTTTCTGCTGGTCTTCTGGGGAAGGGGCTGGCTAAGCTGGCACTGAGGCAAGCTTGATCAAGAAGGGCAGTCCCACCAGAATGCACAGGTGTGGGACTTGGTGTAAGCAGTTAGGCAGCCCTGTGGGTGCTACTTTGCTTCCTGCAGGTGGCTCTGTGTTTAAGATGAGGGGCAGGGAAAGGAAATGGTTCCAACTAGCTCCTTTGTCCTCAGAGAGGCATCTCCATGATATCTGCCTCTCAGGGAAGCACACTGCGAAGAGTGAATAATTTCCCCACTGTCTGCTCCAGGCGTTTTTCAGATCACTGTTTCTGCATCATCTGCCCCAGTTAGTTTGCCTGCCTTCTCTCTGGGAGTAGGGCAACATCTTCAGGGCACAATCCCAGTCAAGGCCACTGATCTTTCAAACTCCATTCTTCAAGCCCCACTGATTGCAAGAACTCACAAAAAGTAGCCCCTTATGTTTTCCCAGCCAATGGTTTTGGGGAAGTGTTTTCCTTGTGCATTCCCCTGTGTGCTCCTCTCTCTCTCTCTTTCTCTCTCTCTCTCCTTTGTCTGTGACCAGGGCTCCCTCCCCTCCACAGCACTTGTGATCCATTTATCCTCCAAACCACATCTCCGTACTTCCTACTTTCCTCAATGTGGCTTCTTCTCTCCAGAGTTTTAGTTATGGAGTTCATTCTGTCAGTCTTCAGGTTGATTTCTGGAGTCTTAGAATGATTTGACAGTTACCTAGTTATGTTCGTGGGGTGAGACAAGCCTAGGGTCCTCTTCCTCCACCATCTTTTCTCCCTTCTCCTTAGGTTAACCTAATTAAAAAAAAAATTTTTTTTTTAACGTTTATTCATTTTTGAGAGACAGAGACAGAGCATGAGTAGGGAAGGGACAGAGAGAGAGGGAGACACAGAATCTGGAAGCAGGCTCCAGGCTCTGAGCTGTCAGCACAGAGCCCAACGCAGGGCTCAAACTCACGAACTGCAAGATCATGGCCTGAGCCAAAGTCGGACGCTCAACCGACTGAGCCACCCAGGTGCCCCGAGGTTAACCATTTTTAAAATTAGATTTGAAAAATGCATTCTTTTAAGAAGAAAGGAACTTTCAGAGGAAAGTTTGTTTATGTTGATAGTCTGAAAGGGACCAACAGTGAAGTAATGGTGTAAGATGTGGAAATCAGATGGACTTGGGGTTGAATCCTGGCCCCCTCGTCACAGGCTGGGTGACCTTGGGCAAGTTCTCCAGATTTGTGGAACCTCAATTTCCAGTTGAGGATTGAGATGATACTTAGTAAAGTGTCTGCCACTTAGCAAATGCTCAATAAATGTTACTAACTCTCCCTCAAAGCCAATCTGGTAGTGGCAGTATCTGTGGTACTGAGAATCCAGGGAAGATCCAAAGACTCCAGTACATCTGCTGACAGCGTTAGGGCGCCTTGTTATTTGTAACAGTACTGTGTGAGTTAGCTGGAGAAGTTGCTAGAAATCCCTGGGACACCCCCCCTCCCCCACCTCCCAGTCAGATGAATTCCAACCCTGCTTCTGGGAGGGTTGCTTCTGAATAATGTGAATTAAGAACATCTGCCCACCTCCCAAGGAACTTTAATCTGCAGATAAATGTACAGAGTTTCTTGATATTGGCTAATTTCCAGCTCAGGATTTTCTCTTCTTTGTCATTTCCCCCCTGTTCCAGAAGACAATATTTTTAGAATATCTTCTTTGGAGGATCAGTTATCACCCTCTCCATCTTGCATGTAGAGAAATTAGAACAAAGAGAATAGCACGTTAGGGAAAGAACTCAGGTGCCCTAACTCCCAGAAGAAGTGCTTTTTCAAAATGGACTACTATATTCGTCACCATCTTTCCTGAGAATTTGTACTTTATATCTATGGCCATCATCTGGGAATTAATTTGGAGTTCAAACAAACCTGTGATTTTGCAGACTTTGGGTCCTTTCATGCCCCAAAGGAAAAGTATCATAACCAACGTCTGAGCTCCTTCAATTTTCTTTTGTGCAAGGAATTCGCCTAAAACCAAGTCAACGAAATGCTAACTAGCATTTGAGTATCACTTACAGTGTTTTTCAAATCTGTCTGATGTTACATGGATCCCTTTAGCACCACCCCAGACCTACACAATCAGAATCTGCAGGGAAGAAACCTGGAAATCAGTATCTTCTAGAAGCACTTTCAGTGCTGTTATCAGTCAAGTTTGGGAAACACTCTCAGAGAACATACTGCTGTTGACTCCATTTTTTAGTGAAGGACACTGAGGCTCAGAGTGGTTAAGTCTACTGACCCCAAATTACATGGCTAATTAAAGTGGTAGAGGCAAGACCAGCAAATGTGGTTGTGTTTCTGCTTCTGTGAAGTGTCTCTCCAGACCCCACCACAGCTCCTGTAGGCTCCGAGCCTCCTGAGCAGCCATAGTAAATGCTGGTGGCAGACACACTTTCCCTTGTCTCCACAGTCACCACTGCTACTCACCATCGGCTGGTGGCTCCCCAACCCTGCAGGCTCCATGGCCGTGTCTGTGATGCCTACCATCCTCCTGGCTTTGCGTGGCTGCTGCTGAAAGCAGCAACAGTGGAGAGCTCTTTGACCAGTATTCTTATCCTTTCCAGAAATCACAAAATCTTTTCTCATGCACATTGAAAACTAATTTCTGCTCCAGTATATTATATTCAAGCACTGTCCACAAAACAACCCTTTGCCCTATCTATCAGAAGCAAGATTTTAAATGTGGATTAAGATAGAATTTTGTTGGTGGTTAATTGAATAATGATTCCCTTTGGAGAACTTATTAATTTGTTTTTCTTGGCTCTAACTATTTGTATGTTTTGTTTTTTAGTTTTTATTTTATGTACAGGTAATATCACTAATGACTATGGGAATAAATTCATACATGATGACTCATTCAGCCAGGACATTAGGTAAAGTATATTTATCTTTCATTAATTAACTGGAGAGAATAATGCAAACACATTGTTGTTGGGAGTCATGGGGACATTTCTTAAGGAGCTCAAGGAATTGATTATGAAATCATTCATTTTCATTCATTCATTATTTACAGATGCTGCATTAATTGGAATATTGGTTTAGCCAGTTTAACAGAAACCACATTCGCAGTGGCTTAAACAAGATAGGGAACTTTCTTTTCCTCTCCATCAAAATGTCCAAAAGAGTGGGATGGTTCTACTTCACGGGGTTGTCCATAGATCCAGGATCCTTGTATTTTGTTGTTGCTCCTCTCTGGAATGTTGCTCTTGTCTGAGGGTAGAAGCTGACTCATAACCACTATATATTCAATCCAGCCAACTAGAGAGAGAAAATGGGGAGATGGGTGGAAATGGAGAGTAAGCAGCTTCCTTTTAAGGGCATAGCCTAGAAGTTGTATATATCATCAGCACTCACATTCCATTGGTCAGAATTTAGTCACATGGTCACACATGGGTAAGAGAAGCTATAAAATATTATCCCTACCTGGGATAATGTAGGGATAATGGTGGAGCCATGGCTGGCCATGTGCTCAGCCAAGACTTGGAGATTCTATGGCAAAGGAAGAAGGGGAAAATGAATATTGGGAGTCCTTTGGCTGGAACCACCATCTTCCAGTAATTTGCCAAAATGACCAACACAAAGGGAAAGAGGAGAGGTACCCTCTATATGTTCTCTAGGCCTTTTAGAAAACATGGAGTAGTTCCTTTGCAAATCTACAAGAAAGGTGATATTGTAGATATCAAGGGAATGGAGACTGTTTGAAAAGGAATACCCCACAAGTGTTACCATAGAAAAACTGGAAGAGTCTATAATGTTACCCAGCATCCTATTGGCATTGTTGTAAACAAAGAAGTTAAGGGCAAGATTCTTGCCAAAAGAATGAATATACATATTGAACATATTAAGCACTTAAAGAGCTGAGATAGCTTCCTGAAGTGTGTGAAAGAAAATGATCAGAAGAAGAAGAAAGCCAAAGAGAAGGGTACTTGGGTTCAACTGAAGAGCCAGCCTGCCCCACCCAAAGAAGCACACTTTCTGAGAACCAATGGAAAGGAGCCTGAGCTGTTGGAACCCATTCCCTATGAATTCATGGCTTGATAAATGTAAAGGAAAAAAAAGGTTTTAAGATTGTAAAAAAAGAAAATAAAATGGATATTGGGGGATAATCAGCAGGCTCTGCCACAGTTGCTTATTTCCAGAAAACATTTGAGGCCATTGATAATAAAGTGCATAAATTTGATAAAATCACAAATCGACACGTAGTCAATAGAGAAATCTAAGATAAGATAGTTGGTGGCAGTACAGTCAAGTGGGGAGGGAGAAGGCTGGATGGGATTACACAAAGTCTTCGAATAGGGCCTTAGTATCTCTCAATATCCCATGGCCTGATCCTCAGCTAAGCTGGTGCAGAGGATGATCCTTTCAGGGTATCTAAAATTGATCAGACTGCTGGAGATATACAGCACTCACAGGAGCATGTGGATAAGCAGAAAATCAATTAGTTAAATTATAAAGAGGATGATTTCTTTCTATGTCTGAAATAATTGTGATCATTATTCAGGGTATTCACCTCTAAATACCAATTTCCTTGATAAACGAAACTAGTCATCAGAAGGTATCTTGGAAAGCATGGAACTAATGAGAGGTCAATGGAAGGACGATGTTGAAGGAGGGTTCTTCTAAACAGGGAAATAGCCTGGTGAATTTTCCCTATCCTGCCCATGAGAGACATTACCTCTTTGCTTGTGTCTTTTTGCAGTCCTGCCCATTTCTAAAACTGCACCCCGCCAGCACTACAGCAGAACTTCCTGTGACAGCCCCCTTCAAAGCCAAGGGCTCCAATATGTGAACTGGGCTAATTAAGTGGGGCAGATTTCTGGTAGCTCTTCTTTTCCCCTAGTTATGGATCTGTTCTTGTTCTCAGTGGAAATGTATGCTTGGTCGGCAAAAGCCTACGCTGGAGTGTGACCGAAGTTAATTTGATCTTTGAAGGCTTTCTCACACCTCCCTTCTCAACAATTTATTTTTGACTCTCAGGGATCCAGACCCACTCCATTCTCTTTGCTTAGGATATCACATCTGGATTTCTCCCATGCTTCTTTTCTTGTGATTCCTCCTACTCTGATACTCAAAGGCAAGATCAACAAGGGGTTTTACTATCATGGTAATATTTTTTTCTCCTCTTTTTCTTCCCTTATAACTTTTTAAAAGTTTATTTATTTATTTTGAGAGAGAGACAGAGAGAGAGAGAGCATGCACATGTGCAAGCAGGAGAGGGGTAGGGGCAGAGAGAAAGGGAGAGAGAGAATGTCAAGCAGGCTCCACGCTCCGTGCAGAGCCCAACACAGGGTTCGATCTCACAACCGTGGGATCATGACCTGAGCTGAAATCAAGAGTCAGGTGCTTAACCAACTTAACGAGCCTCCCAGGTGCCCCACAAAATTTTTTATTGTAGTAGTTAAACCTCGGAATTTTCATTATAAAACAAAAGTATATGGTAAATACTTTCTCCTTGTAGAATCTATGTTCATCCTTTTTTTTTTTTTTATTTTTTTTTTCAACGTTTATTTATTTTTGGGACAGAGAGAGACAGAGCATGAACGGGGGAGGGGCAGAGACAGAGGGAGACACAGAATCGGAAACAGGCTCCAGGCTCCGAGCCATCAGCCCAGAGCCTGACGCGGGGCTCGAACTCACGGACCGCGAGATCGTGACCTGGCTGAAGTCAGACGCTCAACCGACTGCGCCACCCAGGCGCCCCTATCCTTTCTAGAAATACTACGTGGCACACATTTAACACCTAACAGAGTTCAAGTTTTATCAGTAAGAGTTTCAAACCAACTACTTCTGTCTAGTCAAAGGCTTTAACAGATTCCCTCCTCACACTCTTCCAGGATCATCTTAAACACAGAGAATTCATTCAAATGTATTGGTGCCACCAAGTGGTCCACATATACTCATGTTTCCCCAGAGCAACTGGAAAGTATTTGTTTCTCCATCATATGGGGAGGATGTAGTTAGGCAAATGAAAAAAATTTTCTTCCTGTATGGTCTCAGCCATACAGCTTTGAATCCAAAGCTGACAACTTCTACCTTAAGCCTACAGTCAAATGTGTCTCTGCTCTGGACCATAGCGAATATGCTATGCGAATATGACCATAGCGAATAGGCTATCCCAAGAGGGATATGCCTCCAGACCTTTGGGATCCCAGAAATTTCAAATACTGTCATTACATACAGTGTCCCATAAAGAATGCAGTAAAGTTAACTAAACGTTTGGAACTCATTTGGACTCTTTATGGAACATTCCACATGCAGTTACAAAAGAGAACAGTTTTATTGAGATGGGATTCCAAGTGAGCAGTTTAAGCTCATTCACTAATTAAATTCTTCTTTTCAGTGAGTGAGCCTCATAGCTGTAACTTCAAATCCATACCTCAAGAAAATACAAATGGCTACAAGTTTTGAGACATGTGGATTTGCTGCTGGCCAGGAAACAGATACATATTAAATTTGAGGGATCTCTGTTGCAGTGACCTCAATATTTTAAATTTTTAAAATTTTATAGAAGAATCAGTTGGAGAATTGTTAAAATGCAATTTCCAATTGATTCTCTAGGTATGGGTTGGATCCTGGGAATTTGCACAGTTTAATAGGCAGCCTTCCTCTGTAGAAGACACAAGTAGTTTTCTATACTTCGAGAAATACTGATTGGGTGCCTTGAAGTAGCAAGTCATGTCTCTAGATAAAGGGAATGAAAGGAAATGAAGAAAGCATTCCTTAGCAATTGAGTCAGATAAAGTTGAGTTATACAACCAGGAGAAACAGAGTTGGGTAAGTTTTTGGAAAATTTTGGACCAAATGTGGTCCTTGCTTTTCTTTGAGCACTCTGGTTTGGCTATGCGAGTGATTGACTGCACCAACGAGATTTCACTACATCTTGCAGGATTTTGCCTCTTGGAGTCTTTGCTGTATTCTATTAAGATCCTTGCTTTTCTTTGTCACAGGTTTGTGTGCTATTTCCCTCCCAAGGCAAATGGCCATGCAGAATGCCATTAAGCACATTCAGGAGATAATACAGAACACAATAATGCTATTTAAAACAGAAAAAATTTTGACAAATGTTAATTGGACCTTAGTAGAAGAAAAAACAAAGATTGAATACACCATTCCTGTGAGTTGATACCTGGCAAAAAAAAAAAAAAAAAAAAAAAAAGTCCTCCTTTCTCTCCTGGGTCTGCCTTTCTTGCTTTAGTTTGTTATTTTAAAAAAACCTCTATTCTGCTAATGGAATGTCAGAAAACTGAGGAGTCGGGGGTATATTTACTAGCTTTGCTATCTGGGTGAAAAGTCTTCTTTGAATTCTCTCTAAAGAGAAGGTCTTGGTAATTTAGCTTTGTTTGCCAACATTGGAGAATTGGTGTTTTTACATGCCTGGTTGACTAACTGTGCATGGCCTCTGCCAAGCTGATGTTTCTGACCACTTGAGGAGCTGAGCCACCTGCCCTCACATTACTATAAAAAGCAGGAAACACAGGTTGCTTCAGAGAGCAATCGAGCAAAGACAGGTTTGGGGGAGAATCTGACGTACAAATCTCTCCGAATTTACGACTTTTAAAGCACACAATTAAAAGCAACATTTCTCATGTGGAGAGCATACCCAGTTATGCTAGCCCTTCTTTTAACCATTCTGATTTAAGTTATTAGAATCTTGGTTAAGTGAAGTGCTTGTTTTAGCTACTTATTTTAGCTCTTTTTAACTTTATCTCTTTATGTTTTTAAACTTAGTCTGATACTGTTCAGTTTTCCCACGTTTCTCGTGGTAGTGAAACGGAGGAGTCCCCAACAGAAGAAGTTTTAATAGAAGAAGCCAGATTGCATGTAGCTATAATACAAATGGTTGGTACAGTTCACATAATCCGCTTTTTATTTATTTATTTATTTTTAATTCTTGCAATACTTTCAATTCTTACCTCTTTCAGGTGACTAGAATGCCTCTTTCAGGGCTTTCAGGTGACTAGAAAAAATATTTTTTCAGTTAAAAAATTTTTTTTAAACATTTGTTCATTTTTGACAGACAGAGAGAGACAAAGTATGAGTGGGGGAGGAGGAGAGAAAGAGGGAGACACAGAATCCGGGGCAGGCTCCAGGCTCTGAGCTGTCAGCACAGAGCCCAATGTGAGGCTCGAACTCACGAACTGTGAGGTCATGCCCTAAGCAGAAGTCAGATGCTTAACTGACTGAGCCACCCATGTGCCCCTATTTTTTCAGTTTGGATAGCATATTAGTTGTTAAAATTTGTTTGATTTATAGAAGTTAAAAATAACAATAAATGTCTTAGGCTTTAAGTTCAAGTCACAAATTTTATTATCCTGTTCTACGTCTTGTAATTTTTGACCGTTCACTTTTGAGGGGACTTTGAACAATGTTTGGTGCTATTTACATACCTGTTTAACTAAATATCTTCAAATATTTAAAACTGCTCTTATAAACTTAATGTATTTGAGTTTCTTTTATATAAAGTTCTCTTAAGTGCTTATTTAACTCTTATAAATTTAATAAATTAAAATACATCTAGTGAGCCAAAAATTCTCTTGAAATATTTAAGATTTAAGTTTTCAATGGTTTAATATAAGGAAGATTATATTTTTAAATTTATATATTATTGTGTTATGTATTATTTATATTTAAAATAAGGAAGATTACTAGGTAAAATCAAGTTTAAATCAACTTATCAAATTGCACATTTTAAATTGGGGTTATATTCTAATAAGACACATTTTATTCACTATTGCAAGCACACAAAAACATATACATATATTTGTTAAGCCAAGTCTATCTTTCTTACTTGTATTTTAAAACTTATTATTATGAAGAATTTCTAATTTCTAACATATACAGAAGTAGATATAATAGTGTAATGAATCCTTATGTACCCATGACCCAGCCTTAAAAACCAACATGACAAACCTTGCCCCACCTGCAATCTCATTCACTTCCCCACCTTCCGTATCATTTTGAAACAAATCCCAGATATTATATTATTTCATCTGTAAGTATTTCAATTACATATCTGTAAGTTTTCAAGTCTTTTAAAAAACATAGCAAAATATTAGTATTATACCTAAAAATTAATAATAACATCAAACATTGAGTCAGTGATCAAATTTCCAACTCTCATTAATATGATCAATGTATATTTTCACAGTTCACATTTTTTTTTTTTAATTTTTTTTTTTTCAACGTTTATTTATTTTTGGGACAGAGAGAGACAGAGCATGAACGGGGGAGGGGCAGAGAGAGAGGGAGACACAGAATCGGAAACAGGCTCCAGGCTCTGAGCCATCAGCCCAGAGCCCGACGCGGGGCTCGAACTCACGGACCGCGAGATCGTGACCTGGCTGAAGTCGGAGGCTTAACCGACTGCGCCACCCAGGCGCCCCAAACAGTTCACATTTTTAAATTGAATTCCAGTACAGTTCCCACATTGTAATTAATGGATGAGTCCTTTAAGTCTCTTTTAATCTATAAATTCCTTCTCTTATTTATTTCTGTTGAAGAACATACTTCTCCTTAATGCAAAAAAATTAATACCATATTTTCCTTCTTTTAAACAATTCTTTTTTTCTTCTTTTAAACATTTCTGAACTTAATTTAAAATACTCCCAGAGTTTGAAAATTTCTTATCAGGAGCAGTAGAGTATGGTCATAAATTTTTGATAGAGCCTCCTATTAAGAGGTGGTGCCTATATCCCTCCTCTCCCCCCCCCCCACCTCATTGAATTTGAGCTGTTCTTGTGACCTGTTTTGACCAAAAGTATGTCACAAGTGACTTTGGGAATGTTCTGGAGCCTAGGCTTTGAGAAGATTTACAGCTTCCACCTTCTACTTTGAATACTGCCCTGAGATTATCATGTGAGTTGAAGAATGAGAGGCTGCATAAAAGTAAACTGAGGCACACAGCCAAGAGTCAGTACCCTACTACCAGACTTGTAAATAAATGTTAATTTAAAAGGGTGGGGGCAATAGACTCAAACTCTCAATGGTAGGAGATGCAAAGAATTGTGACCATATTTTTGTTTGTTTTTTCTTGGATGCTTCCCCCAACCAGGTTTTATTGAGTAATAATTGGCATACATTGCTGTATAAGTTTAATGCATACAGTTGTGATGGTTTGATTTACATATATTGTGAAAAGATTACCACGATGGGTTTAGCTAACATCCATCTTCTCATATAATTGTAAGAAAAAGAAGAAAAGGAGAAAAGGGAAAAAAAATTAGGGTATAACCATATTTAATGTACTACACTGTGCTCACTGGCCACAAATATTCATATGCCTCCTATAAACAAAATACACTCATCCTTTTCTAAGACACACCCCCCTGCACCCCCTACACCAAGCTTCATCTTATTATGGCATTAGATTCAAAGTCTAGTATCTCATGATCTGCATTTGGTCTAGTATGCTGAGGTTCCTTAGTTGTATCTCCTTAAGTATTATTCCTCTTGATCTAGAGACCTATGAACTAAGAAACACGTTATCTGTCCCCCACCCCCTCTCCATTTAGTGCTGATCAACAGACACTTCTGTTCAAGAAGGGGAAGAACAGGAAGTACTGATTAATCACTGGTCCATGGCAATTATGAAATCCCACTGGGCATAGGAACCAGTGCACCTCATTCTTTACATTTCCATAGAAAATAATCTGTGTTTGTAACTGACTGGCCTTCTCAGTCTGATTTCTATCAGTAGAAACTTGGGAGGTTTCTATTCATTTAGAATAGTTTCTGTCTCTTTTCGTCCAACCTGGTACAATTTACTTAAAAACTTGTGTATTTTCAATCAATCTGATTATAGTCCACTCCACTCCACAATTCCTTTTCAGATAGGCCATATGTCATAAGAGTCGGAGAAAGCCTTTGGTCTGCTTGAGAAGATAGACTGAGTACCAACTTTTAGTCTTTCAGTGGTCTTAACAAAGAGTCTTTGATCTTGATTGGATCTGGAACCTGAGGCCATATTTTACTGTCAGCACACTAGATTTGATCTTTACTTTTAGATCTTTTGCCAGCTGAAAAGACTGCAATGAGAAACAAATTTAGTTTTCAACCTGGCAAATCGTGGAGTCTTTTTGCTAATTTCTGCTGCAGATTGAATTGTTTCTCTTTGGTTTCCCTAGCTCTTCCCATACTTTATCATAAGTAGCTTTAAAAGTTGATAGTTTTAGGGGTGACTGGGTTAGCTCAGTGCATTGAATGTCTGACTCTTGATTTGGGCTCAGGTCATGATCCCAGGGTTGTGGGATTGAGCCCTGCGTCAGGCTCTGCACTGAGGGTCGAGCCAGCTTAAGATTCTTTCTCTCTTCCTCTGCCCCTCTCCTCTGCTCATACTCTCTCTCTCTCTCTTTCTCTCAAATAAAAAAAAAAAAATTAAAAAAATTTAAAAGTTGATAGTTTTAATATTTCTAGAATGTTAGAAGTCTAGAAATGTTCTTAGCAGCCAGATTCATAAGTTATTTGGGCACATTTTCCACCTTCCCAGTGTCCTCAGGTGACAGTATTGCCCATTGTGGTGCCTCTTTGTAGCACAGCTTCCTCCCTCCCACCTCCAATACCAGTTTTTATACTGTTCTCTCACTCTACTCACCCCCAAGTCCTAAAGCTAATGTTTTAGCCTTTGTTATGGAGGCTTTGAATAACTGGTACTGACTGTTGTTTTGGCTAGCCTTTGCTGTATATCAAAATGCCCCTAAACTTACTGGCTTAAAACAATGATTTATTATTTCTCACAGTTCTGTGGGTTGGCAATCTGGATGATTCTGTCATTGATCTTGGCTAAGAGCACTCATGTGTCTGTGGTCATCTCATAGTTCAGTGGGGTTGTGAATGTCCTCATTCACCAATTTGGCAGTTGATGCTGGTTGCCTTTCAGAGCACTTTGGTGGTCTTCCATATGGCCTTCTATCTTGCAGTAGAGTGGACTGGGCTTCTTCACAGCATGGTGGTCTCTGGGTTCCAACAGGGTGAGCGGAGAAGCTGCAAGGCCTCTAAATCCTGTGTTTTGGAACTTGAATATCATCATTTTTACTCCCATTCTATTAGTTAAAGCAAATCACAAAGCTAGCCAGAGTCAATGAGTGAAGAAGTGGACTCCATCTCTTAGGAGAAGCAGTAGCGTCAGTTGCAAAGGGGCATGGACACAGGAAGGCATGGATACATTGGGGCTGTTTCTATGATGACCTACCACATTTACTTTTTTAAGCCGACAATCCCATGTAGTAGCCCACTCCATGTTGTCCTTTAATGGCTTTCCTGAGAGTGCCCTCTAGTGGCATTCCTCCCTGTTTTTGTGACCCCTTTCCTTTTTGGTCTCTTTCATGAGCTCCTCTCTTTCTTTTTATCTCTTTAATGTTTTCCTCAGAACAGTTAACTCTGTCCATCATTCTTCCCTTATAATCTCTCCTTCTTTTTTCTTAGCTACGCTCATTTCAATGCTATCCACAGATGTTCCTCAAATCTATATTCTTCCTTCCCAAACTCTCACCACCATCTCTTTATACTCATAAGTTCAACTGTGGCTAGACATTTCTTAGACATATCGCTGGCACCTAAATCCACACTGAACTCATCTCAAACTGGCTCTTGTATTCCTAGTCTCAGTGAACGGGCTCATTACCTTATGTGATCACTCAGGTCAGTCCTCTTTCTCTCTCCCTCTCCAAGCTCTATCATTCTTACCTTCTAAATATTTGTCAAATATGCCCCTTTCCATTCTTGTGTCTATTAATTTAGGAAATTATAACCTCTTTCCTGAATAATAAGCTTCAACTGATCTCTCTACCTCCAATTTTTCTGCGGTCAAATCACAGGGATTTATCCAAAAGACAAATAGGACTATACCACCTTCCTGCTTAAAATCCAACAATGGCTCATCAGGTCCTACAGCATTTTCCTAAGTGAGTTCCAAAAAACATTTGCTCTGATCCACAGAATGTTGATAGGAACTGCATAACAACAACAACAAAAAGTTTCCATGCTCAAATTTGTTTGGGAAATTTCTCCAGGATAGATCATATGTTGGGTCACAAAGCAAGCCTTACCAAATCTAAGAAGATTGAAATTATGTCAAGTATATTTCCTTTATATCATTATAAAGTTGGTATAAAACTAGAAATCAATGGTATAAAATAGTATAAACTGTATAAAACTAGAAACCAATAACAGGAAGAAAACTGAAAAATTCACAAAAATATGGAAATTAGATAACACATTCCTGAAAAACCAGTGGGTCAAAGAAGAAATCAAAAGGGAAATCAGAAAATATCTTGAGACAAATGAAAATGAAAACACAACATAGCAAACCTTATAGGATGCAGCAAAAGCAGCTCTAAGAGGGAAATTTATAGTGATAGATGCCTACATTAAGAAAAAAGAAAGATCTCAAATAACCTAACTTTACACATCAGGAAAAGAAGAATTTGTTCTTTGGGTCCATTTTCATAAAGTTAGTAGGAAGAAGGAAATAATAGATATTTAAGCAGAAATAAATGAAATAGGACAAGAAAGACAACAGAAAAAAATCAATGAAACTGAGAGTTGTTTTTTTGTTTTGTTTTGTTTTGTTTTGTTTTTAAGATAAGCAACCTCACTGTAGTTTTGATTTTAGCCATTCATAACTCCTGTATATTCCAGCAACCTCACTCAGGGTATATGTCAGAAGGAAATGATAATAGGATCTCAAAGAGCTCTCTGGGCTCTCATGTTTCTTTCAGCATTATTTACAATAGCCAAGACATGAAAACAACCTAAGTGTCCATTGATGGATGAATAAAGAGAATGTTTATCTATCTATTATCTATTTATCTATATCTAATGGAATATTATTCAATCATAGAACAGAAGGAAGTCCTGCCATTTGTGAATATATGAATGGACCTTGAAGGCATTATGCTATGTAAAATAGACAGAGAAAGACAAATAGTATATGATTTCACTTGTGTGTGGAATCTGAAAAAAAAAAAAAAAAAGCCAAACTCCTAGAAACAGAGTGAAATGGTGGTTTCCAGGGCTGGAAGGCGGGGGAAATGAAGGAGGTGTTAAAATGTACACACTTTCAGTTATAAGATGAATAAGTTTTGGGGCTCTAATATACAGGATGGTGACTATACAATTCTGTATTACATACTTGAAAGTTGCTAAGAGAGTGGATCTTACATCACACACAGTCACACACACACAAGTTGTAATTATGTGAGGGATGGATGTGTTAACTAATCTTATTGTGGTAACCATTTTCTGCAATATGTATGCATGTGTCAAATCATTACATTGTGCACCTTAAACTTATACAATATGTGTCAATTATATTGCAATAAACCTGGCAAAAAGGGGGAAAAAAAGAACACAATTCACTTTTCTCTCCTGGTAGTTCCTTAAGAGGTTGAGATGATTAGTTAACCTTTGAATTAATACTTTGTACTATCCTGCTGTAGAAAGATGACACTGTGATACTATTTATATTACTGAGGAAAACTCTTTGAGTTGTGTAGATTTTGAGTTTCTGAAGCTAGGAAACTTTGTATCTTTTATTACATCCAGGATATTACTTTGCAAAAAATGAATATTTAGTAAATATTTAAATTGAATGGAATTTATTTCCTGCTACAGGAGATTTTTGGTAAAAGTATATTTTTCTATAATGAATGTAATAATAATAGTGAGGGCTATGTAAAGGTCAAGTAGAGTATATTACATTTATGTTTTGGTCCTTTGTAATATTTATTTAAAATTGTATGTTTAGAGTAGCTTTGAAAAACAGTGTAATGATGGAACCCTCAGTGTAGAGGCAGCCCGGATATTAATCGGTGCAACCAAAAGCTATTGCCCCATCCAAGGAAAGTAAGTATAATATTTCTTAAATTGTTATTTCCAAAATCAAATGAGTATATGGATAAATAAAATTTAAAAGCTGAGAGTTAAATGTCCAGGTTGATCAATTTATCTCACCTATGCTCATCTATCTGTCCATCCATCTATCTATCCATCCCCTTATTTTACTTGTTTACCTTTTTTTCCCCTGAAGGTTAATAACTTTGGTGACATTAGGAGATTCTGGAAGAAGTGTAATTAGATAAGAGACTAGGGGAGCCATAAATGGAACTTATGTAGTTTCAGATACTGTTATGATTATCCCATCTTTCTATCATATTTGCTAAGTTACTGGGTAGGGTAGGTAGGGAAGCCTGGAGCCTGTCATTAGGCTGCTTCCTCAGGTGGAGCAAGTCTTGAAGGAACTGACCCCACTGATGGAGTTAAATCTAGTGGGAAAAACTCAGGTGTTGAGAGATATGTCAATATCTGGTCACAGTCCTGGTACAAATTAGCTACTGGATGATCTAAGACAAAGCTTGTGGGGGCAACAACGATAGGAAATTCTGTCTGGGTGATAGTTAACATTTCAGGAGTCTGGTAAACTATCTGGGAGATCTAACATCAGTTCCTAAAGTTTGGAAAGGGTAGAGCCTTCAGGGCCTTGGGGAGGCTTGGGTTAGGCAAGGCATGACAAAGGAGGGCTTGATTCTGGACCCCAAAAAATTGGTCTGGAGAAGCTTTAATTATGTGCTACCTCAAGCCAAGCATGGTTCAATGAACAGAGGCAGGAAGAGTTTCCTGTACCGTGACCATGAGTGGGTAGGTGGATGGATACAGAGGCTCAGGGTGGTGCATTTAAAAAATATTTTTAAGTTTATTTATTTATTTTGAGAGAGAGGGAGAGCACAAGCAGGGGAGGGGCAGAGAGAGAGGGAGACAGAGAATCCCAAGCAGGTTCTACACTGCCAGCCCAGAGCCCCACATGGGGCTCGAACTCACAAACCATGAGATCATGACCTGAGCCAAAATCAACAGTTGGGTGCTTAACCAACTGAGCCACCCAGGTACCTCCAGCACTTGACTTTTATTATAACATATGTGTATATTTTTCTCTGTTAGATTCATGAGTATTTACGATGTTTCAACTTACGTAAGAGCTAGAAGTTGGCTTATGAAGTTTAAAAACATGTTAACTTTTTTGGAATATCATAAAGATAAGGCACTTCTTATTCTATATGGGTAAGTATTATAAACCGTAATAGCAATAGACAAAAATATAACCTTTTCTACATTGTCAGCATTGATTACATTGATTTTCCTTATTAAGAAAAATCAACTAATAGTATGGTCAACTCTTATTGATTGAGTGGTGATGGAGCAGAGTTCTTGCTTCTCTTTCCCCACTCTGTTTTGGCAACTTTGCTGATATCTCTATTAGAGAGTAGGTAGGGAGAAGAATAAAAGAATGGTCACATTTGGACTCTTTAAGGGTTAACTGCCATGTCTAAAGGTCATATTACAAACTGGACTGCTTTCACATCCTTCTGGTATTCTTCTGGGTATAACAGTGATCAGGGGAGAGAAAGAACAAACTCATGGTCTGTAACTTCCTCTCAATTTCATCTGTGCTAAGAGGTGGCTCTGTTGATGTCCATTACTAGGAAAAACACAACATGGCCTTAATAATAGCTGTAACCAATTTACCAACAATAGCTGTAACCAAACTATCACAAGATACAGATTTCACTGAACTTGTGTAAAGTTTTCCCTTTAGTATATAAGTTGTGAACTTACATACTTTTTAGAGCAGGAAGGCAGGTTTTTCTGCTAACAAAAGATGTCAACATGAGAAATGCCAGAAATATTAATGCTACTAAATTTTAAGTGGGCATTGACATACATTTCATAACAAATTCTGATGATTAAAAAATTTTTTTTCCATTAAGTTTGAAGAGAAATATAAGAAATTAAAATCCTAAGGTCTTGACATATATCCAGGTAACCTATTTTTGTTGGGCTCTACTTAGGATGGATTGAAAAGAAAAAAACAAAACGACATTATAATTACTGAATAAAATATTTTTTCCTGTTCTTATTTTAAATGATGCTGATGTTTTTCTCTAAATTTATTTGTTTCTTGCTTTTGATGTCTGAATCTTTGCCTTGTTTCCTATGTACTATTATCTTTGATTTTTAAAAATGCTCCCCATCCTGATATAAATTAGTAAGAACTATATTTTTTATCTTTTTCTATTATGATTATTGTGTATAGAAAGTATGCTTTAGGGGCGCCTGGGTGGCGCAGTCGATTAAGCGTCCGACTTCAGCCAGGTCACGATCTCGCGGTCCGTGAGTTCGAGCCCCGCGTCGGGCTCTGGGCTGATGGCTCAGAGCCTGGAGCCTGTTTCCGATTCTGTGTCTCCCTCTCTCTCTGCCCCTCCCCCGTTCATGCTCTGTCTCTCTCTGTCCCAAAAATAAATAAACATTGAAAAAAAAAATTAAAAAAAAAAAAAAAAAGAAAGTATGCTTTAGGTTTTTGCTGATTTATTTTATGTTTGTGTACTCTTCTTCAAGTTAATGTTAATGATTTGTTAAAACAAATGTTGAACTTCAGATCTTAATCGTTATATTTTTAAAGTGATCTAACATTGTATTTGATCTCTTTTTTTCAGAAATAATAAATTTCTGCTTTTTGTATATCACATTGTATTTTCAGAAGAATTTGAATATGCAGGACATGTTATAACATTAATATACATTTATCCCATGATAGTGCATCTATGGCCAATGGCAAGAGAGTTAAATGTGTCAGCACTTATGTCAATAAACTACTATTTTGTGTTTTTATATATATTTCAATCAGCACTGAAGGTACTGTTTAAAATAGAAATGTATCCAATAAAAAGAATAATTCAGATATTTTTAATCTATTTTTGTCATATGCAAAAAATAAATAAGGGGATAAACCCAACTTGGTTTGCTAGGTCCTTGTCATAAGATGAGAACCATTTTTTAGGATAAATGCTTCAAAGATCATTTGTCAGCACCAGTGTTTTCATACTTTATTATTAATAGTATTGCAAAAACTCTGTTTACTGCTATTTTTAACTGCTTGTTTTTGGCACTTCAACTTCATTATAGATTATATTTTGAATCAAATTATAATTTCTGATGTTGGAGATTAAAAATAATTTTTCTGAAATTCTAAATGAATAACTTAAAACTCAACTTTTGGAATGTAACTCACTTGTAGTTGAGGATTTAACTGTTAATGTCAAAGATCCATCACTGTATACATCACTGTATAGGTGCTATGAAATAACATACATTCTCTTTGTTTTCCAAATAGATAATAATTTTGAAAAGGAAATATTTTCGTGAATATTGGAATACTTTGGACTTTTTTATCATGCTCCTTGGAATCATTGATATCTTTTGTATATACTTTGTCAAATTGAGACAAGACAATTTTGTTCTTATTCAGGTTACAGTAATACTAGGATATTTCAGAATACTTAGGTTTATTCCTCTCATCAAGGTAAAATGTCACATTTCTAAATATTGGGGTTTTTGTCCTACACTGTTTGTTAGATGTGTTAACAAACCTCGTTATCTTGAAGGAAACAGAGAAGGAGCTCTCTTTACTTGGAATGCTGTCTCTACAGGTGTCTGTATGGTTCACTCTCTCATCTTCTCACAGAGGCTCCCCTGACCAGTCTGTGTAAAATGGCATCCTGCCTCCCCACCCCAGCCAGTTCTCCACCCCATGTTTCTGATGCTCTTGTACCTGCTTAAGGTTTAGCTTTTCCTCATAGCACTCATTACCTTTGTACTGTATGTTGTGTGTACTCTCCACAAGGTAGGGATCTTCATTTTGGTCACTGATGTAACGTCCGGTTCTAGAATGGTACCTAGCATGTAGTGAGTTCTTAATAGATATTTGTTGAGTGAATGAATGAAAATGGTGGTGCCACTTAAAGCAGGGTGACCCAGAAACAAATTCTCCAAGCTTTAGTAAAATGTGCTCATAGATCCCTAACTGTAAAGAAGCACGAAAGTTATTTTCTCTGCAGCCCATGTCTATATAGCATACCGCCTATGGAATTTGATTTTACTGTGACCTTCAATCTCTGCAACAGATATTAGTCCTTCTTTCTATGCTTCTGGTTTTGATTCTGAAGGTAGATTTTCAGATTTCCAGTCTCAGCTCCTAAACCTCCCATCTTTCTTTCCAATGGAGTTGTCTTATACAGCTTTTAACTTGGGAGATTTACCTTTTTATTTTTTAAATTAATTAATTAATTTTGAGAAAGAGAGAACAAAGGAGGAGCAGAGAGAGAGACAGGGGGAGAGAGAGAATCCCAAGTAGGTTCTGCACTTTGAGCATAGAGCCGGGCACAGGGCTCGATCCCACAAACCATGAACTCATGACCTGAGCGGAAATCAAGAGTTGGATGCTTAACCGACTGAGCCACCCAGGCACCCCTTAACTTGGGAACTTTAGATGGTTTTGCTTGCCACTGTTTGTTTTTTTTTTTGTTTTTTTTTTTTTTTTTTTTTTTTTTTTTTTTTTTTTTTTTTTTTTTTTTTTTTTTGAGTGGTTGAATTCTTATCCTGTCAAGTGAGTTTACTGGTATGTACTGAAGGTATAAAAGATTAATATTTTTTTCAAAACCTGCTGTAAACCCTGGTGACAAAAGGCATTCATTAATCTCCTCCATGTAGTTCCCATTCTCCAAGAAATTTAGTAGTCCTCTTAAAGACAGAATTGTTTGAATGCTCAGACTTGCACTTGTAGACTTTATTTTCTATTCCTTCCTTGATTCTGTGTCAATGTTACCAAGCCTTGGCATTCATAAGAGTTGTTACACAGAGTTGTATATACAAAAGCTGCTTTAAGTGGTAATTTTGATTATTCATGATTTTTGCTCTATGACTGAGTTTAGAGCCAAGTGCCCACCTAAGGTATAACCCCACTGGAACACAGACTATTCTAGAAATCAGGATATGTAGCATGAGGCTAAGTCTTAAAATGGAAGGGAGAGGGGCGGCTGGGTATGGTTCAGTCAGTTAAGCGTCCAACTTCAACTTAGGTTATGATCTCATGGTTCCTGAGTTCAGGGCCTGCGTCGGGCTCTGCTGACAGCTCAGAGCCTGGAGTCTGCTTCAGATTCTGTGTCTCCCTCTCTCTCCGTCCCTCCCCTGTTCACACTCTGTCTCGCTCTCTCAAAAATAAAATAAATGTTAAAAAATATTTTTTTAATGGAAGGGAGAGGTTTCCTTGTGTCATCCATTTTTATACAGTGACTGTACGCAGATGAAGGTAAAACAATCACCGTGGAAGTAATACTTTGTGGAAATGTCTCTCTGAGGGAAGTAAAGATTTAAAGATGTGTTATTGTACAAGTCAAATCTATTCAGAGTATGAACCAGTTGCTGCTTCTGTCCAGCACACTTGACAAATCTCAATGAAGTATATTTAAGGAATTAATATAATCAGGATCAACTTTTTCTCTTGAGCACTTACTATGTTCCAGGAAGTGTGCAAAGAACTGTACGTACGTGATCTAATTAAATGATTGCAATAACTCCGTGAAGTAGGTGTTACCACTATATAAAGTCAGGTGCTCTAATAGCCAGTCCTCAGCACAATGTGGCTTTCAAAAGAAACCTGTATTGGAAGGCTTGGAAGAATGATGGAGATTTTTACTTTAAATCCTCTTAGGAACAGCTCATGGGGGGATTAGTGCATCACAGAATGAAACTTTGTAAAAATCCTCTTCTATCTCTCCCTCTGCCCAAACTTACACAACTATCAGAGTGGCTAAAAGTCTCTTCTTTCTCTGCTCTTTTAATTCCTTTGCTATGATGTTCTTTTCTTCTTCTCATGTTCCTCCTTTGTTACTTGGTTCCTCACCATCTGCCCTGCAGTCTGATGTGACTCTCTCTGTAATTGACTGCATTCTTTTATTTTTTTATTTTTTTAAGTTTGTTTATTTTTGAGAGAGAGAGAGCGTGCAAGTGGGGAGGAACAGAGAGGGAGAGAGAGAGAACCTGAAGCAGGCTCCAGGCTCTGAGCTTTCAGCACAGAACCTGACGTGGGGCTCGAGCTCACGAACCACGAGATCATGACCTGAGCCGAAGTTGTGCACTCAACGGACTGAGCCCTCCAGGCGCCCCTTGACTGCATTGGTTTTGGAGGAGCAGCTCAGTTGGACTTTGGGTACTTAAGTATTATTATCCTCATCTTACAGATGAGGAGACTGAGTCCTCAAGGTTGCAAGTAACTTGCTGAAGGTCACAGAGCTGGTGAATAGTAGGGCTGGTCCTTGAGCCTAGGAAGGTTTATATTTAAAACCCCATTCTGTTCAGGGCACTTGGGTGGCTCACTCGGTTAAGCCTCTGACTTCGGCTCAGGTCACGATCTCACAGTTTGTGAGTTCGAGCCCTGTGTCAGTCTCTGTGCTGACAGCTTAGAGCCTGGAGCCTGCTTCGGATTCTGTGTCTCCCTCTCTCTCTGCCCCTCCCCAACTCATGCTCTGTCTCTCTCTCTCTCAAAAATAAATAAACATTAAAAACAAAACAAAACAAAAAAACACATTCTGTTCAATCACCACACTCTCTTGTTTCAGCTTGTGATTTGAGAAATTTAGAGCTGAGAAGTATCTTTAATACCTACTGTTCCTTATCTTGCAAGTTAAGAAACCAAGGGGCAGAGGGATGATTGATTTAGTCGGTGACTATCATGCAGGTTAGGAGACCGCTTGTCTCCTGAAATCTGGGGGTGTGGAGAATGGGGGGTAAAGGCAGTGGTGAGGACTTCCCTCACCAGGTATGCATTGACCTTTCATTCCTTTGAAGAGTGGCTCTTAAACTTGAGTGCGCATAGGTAGACTCACCTGGAGAACTGGTTAGGACAGATTTCCGAGCCCAGCCCCAGAGTTTCTGGTTCAGAGGGTCTAGAGGAAGGCCTGAGAATTTGCATTTCTGACAAGACTCTGGGTAGTGCCCGCTGCTCCCTCAGATGACACTTTGAGAATGCCTACCGTGGAGGGTGCTTTTCCTCATCAAATGTTCAGGCTTTTTTTTTTTTTCTCTTCACTGTTCCAGATAATAATACCACTACTGATAAATATTGTCGATGTGCAGATCAAAAAGCGCCTCCACTTGATGTATAGTATTACAAAAGGTTATGTCAAAAGTCAAGAGGATACCAAATTTTTAATAAAACAAATTTCCAGCCGAGAATCAATATATCAGGTGAGAGACAAGCCCTGGTCATTGGGAAAACAATCGTTTGGGTGTATTCATGTCTTTTAACACTACTTCTGCATGTATTTACATTTTTTTTAGCTTATTTATTTTTTGAGAGAGAGAGGGAGCTGAGGAGGGCAGAGGGAGAGAGAGAATCTCAAGCAGGCTCCACACTGACAGTGTAGAGCCCAATGCAGGGCTCGAACTCACAAGCCTTGAGATCATGACCTGAGCCAAAATCAAGAGGCAGAAGCTTAACCGACTGAGCCACCGGGGTGCTCCTACTTCTATAAGTGTTTGACCCAATGGATAAATTGTAGCAAGTAAAGGGCCATTCGATGGTTTATTACATTATCCGAGGTGCTGAGGTGCCACAGAGAACAGTCTTTGCTCTTTACCTTTCAGGTATCTTTATCAAGCTCATTTATGATCTTCATAGAAGACAATCTATCTCTTTGTTTTTATTTTCTGAATGCAGACTTGAGATCCGTCTGTCTTTGTAACCCTCTCTGAAAGGTAGGGCAAGTTGGAAAAGGCTTCCTGCAGGAATCAAAACTCGAATGAGCCTTCAAAGAAAGGGTAGGTCTAAAGTGGGGAGGAACAGAGAGGGCAAGAGAACAAAGATTTGACAGTGAAAGCTGGAAATGCTGGTGCCGAGAAGTGGCCGAGTTGTGGTATGTATGTACATATGTAATTGTTCAAGACCTTCCTTATTTGCAGGCAGTGTGACGTAAGTACCAAGTGGGAGACGAGGACATAAGCATACTAGGAACTTGAAGATGCAGTGAATCACCTGCTAACTAGGTTCCCTCATGCCAGGCCGTCTGTCCCAGGCCCCTCTGCAATTCAGTAGAGTAATGTTCCTAAAGGACTATTTCAAGTTTCATATGTGACTTTCTGCTTTAAGAGTATTCAGTGGCTCTGCATGGCCCGAAGGGTAAGGTCTTTGAATCGAAATATGTATGTGTGTGTGTGTGTGTGTGTGTGTGTGTGTGTGTGTGTGTACATGGGTGTGGGTGTGGGTGTAGAGAAGAGAGAACACAGAAAAGATGGTAAAAAATCATCATGCATAATTTTACAACTTGAAAATAATAAAATGTGAGAAATGCAAGTATCCCTCCCTGCGCCCCACTTCCCAGAGACAGCCCTGTACTAACCGTTCTCGTGTTAATTCCTCTACTGCTTGCCACGATAATTTTAATAATATGCACATGTATTTAACTCTTGATTCATTATCTCTAAACAGACTTTACTGACTCTCTGCCGTGAAGTATAAGGAGATTAAGACATTGCTTTAGCCTTTTGTTTTTCTCCCTGTCTTAAATTTTTGGAGCCATTATTTTTACAGAGAAAAGGTTTATAACATTTACATTCTATTCTGTAAGTATAATTAAGTCTTCATTCTTTTCAAGAAATGACTCCATACATGGAAAACCAAAAAAAAACAACCTTTACTTTGTTATAATTATTTATAAATATTATTCACTGTAGAAACTACCATTGGATTCAACCCATAACAAAGGAAATATGATCAATATCATTAAACATCTACTACTTAAAAGATACTCTTTTTGGGGCGCCTGGGTGGCGCAGTCGGTTAAGCGTCCGACTTCAGCCAGGTCACGATCTCGCGGTCCGTGAGTTCTAGCCCCGCGTCAGGCTCTGGGCTGATGGCTTGGAGCCTGGAGCCTGTTTCCGATTCTGTGTCTCCCTCTCTCTCTGCCCCTCCCCCGTTCATGCTCTGTCTCTCTCTGTCCCAAAAATAAATAAACGTTGAAAAACAAAAAATTAAAAAAAAAAAAAAAGATACTCTTTTGAGTGAAACAGTCAAATGGTTAATTAAAAAAAATTTTTTTAACTATCTTCCTCTTTTCTTTTGCTATGGATTCCTTAGCCACTCTTTCTGGAGTCCCACACGAGCCTCCTTTTTGCTTTCCTTTCATCATGCTAGATTATGCCCATAAGTAATTTTTTCCATAGGTGATGTATGGGCTTCAGTATGCAAAAATCTTTGTATTTTGCTCTTAGAATTATGGACTCCAAAGCTATTTTCTTGAAGATATCGCCATCCGTCTTTAGCATTGCTGGTACAAGTCTGACTTTACTTGTGCTTTTGTAGGTGACTTTTTTCTCTTCGTTTAGAGGCTTCTGGGATTTTCTCCTTGGAGTTCTGAAATTTCACCAGAATGTGTCTAGATGTAATTTAAAAAAAGTTATTGAGGTGCCTGGCTGCTGGCTCAGTCGGAAGAGCATGTGACTCTTGATCTCGGGGTTGTGAGTTGGAGCCCCATGCTGGGTGTAGAGATCACTTAAAAATTTTTTAAAGTAAAAAAATAAAAATAAATGTAAAAACGTGATCCCACACAGCACTTGGTGGAGTTTTCATAATTAGAAGATTGCCATCTTCCTTTCATCACCTCTTTGATTGTTCCCTCCCCTGTTTCTATTTTCTCCTTCAGCAACCTTAAAATTTATTTAAAAGATTAATTTTTTTTTTCTTTTTCGAAAGAGAGAGTGTGAGCAGGGAGAGGAGCAGAAGGAGATCTCAAGCAGGCTCCATCCTCAGCGTGGAGCCCTACACCAGGCTCGATCCCACAACCCTGGGGTCATGACCTGAGCTGAAATCAAGAGTCAGACGTTCAACCAACTGAGCCACCCAGGCGCCCAGCACACTTTTAAACACAGTTTTGAATTTCTGGATTTAGTCCTTGTTTCATGTTTTCTCATAACTTCCTACTCTTTCCTCTTTGCAGTGAGAACCCCCCACCCAGCTTGATTTTCCATGTTCCGAATTTAGTCTGTAGCTATGTGTATTCTGCTATTCAGCCCATCTATTACATTCTCTTTCTTTTCTTGACTGAACGCTTACTTATCTCCACGTACTGTGATTGCTTCTTCTCATTGAAACTAGTTCCTTTATTTTTTTTAAACAAATGTGATATTCCCTTGAATCTCTTTATTTAAATTTTGTTGTTGCTGTTGTTTCCTGTAGTAGTTCTCCTTCGTTGAGGTTCATTCTTATATTTGTCATGCTTGGTGCTTGTCTTTCATTCTGTTTTCCTCTGCCCAGTGTTTGGTGACTTTTGGTAGTATTTTCTCAGCCTAAGTGAGACTCTTGATTTGTAACCTGACAATGAATTTAAATCCTAATTACTGAGGACCTAGATCTAATGATCTGTGTGTGTACATAAAATCAGGGATGGCCTGGGGGTTACGTCTTCTGCTTGTTGTGCCTAATTTTTTGTGATGACTGTTATTTACCTCAGGCCCTCAGCCAATAAAGAGAGGCTTTTTCTGAATGAAATTCAGGAGAGGAAAATAGGCTGTGAAGATACCTACCTTAATATTTTAATTTTAATTTCTAAAATACATAAAAAGATTGGTTGTTAAATATCTTCAGAATTTAAGATTTTCTTTTATAATCAGGGAACACTCTAGAATAGCTGAATTTTAGCAGGGCATCTAACATCTTTCATGACATCTTTACAGATAAGCTAGAGAACAATTATCTAGATTTATCAAAGAATTATTGATCATTGGATCAAATGTGCAATAGAATCCTACCTTGTTGATTTACTTCGAATATTAGATAAGACAATTAAAAGAGCTATGGAAAGTCTAGATTGATCTATAATAGAAAGAAGATAGAGCTCTTCATAGGAGAAAAGATTTCAGAAACAGGAATAGGAGAGAAGAAAAACAGCTGCCGGTGGTGGGAGGTAATGCGTTTTGAGGAGTTGGGGAGAAGGCAGAGATTTGGGGGCCGTGGCCTCGAAGTGTAAGAGATGAAACAAATTCTCCTTTGGAATTTTTAAAGGCGACCTCAGTACAGATTTAAATATTTTTTGAGATATTTAGGTATCAAACTCGTGTGTATTCTAAAAGTGTTGCGGTTCAAAAACTGACCAGTGACAGCTCACGTTTAGAGGAGTCACATGTGCCCAGCCTTAAGTGATTATATTCTATTTGTAGGTAGGCGTCGGTTGCTATGCTGTCTCGTGCAGGTCATTCTCTGGCATTTTTACAGAGTTGCTATGGAGCCAGTCTGGTTTGAAGGGGGTTGTGCACCTGTGCAAGCAGGGTGGGACCATGGTTTGTGGGTGCCAGCTATTAATTTGGCACCTTCCCAATATTGATTCAATGTTTTCAAGTGAGAAGAAACAACTTAATAAAAATTGTATACCTCGTTCTTATATTCAAAATGAGAGATTTCTTACATGTGATTTTTCTAAACCAAAACAACAACAACAACCATGAAACTTAACTTCAGCTACTTAAACTTTATAATAAGCCAGTAAATAGCACCGTGTTAGCTACTGTTCCCTGTAAATAGCACTATGCCACATGTTATTTGGGCACAGAGTTTCAGTCATCTATGCCTGACAATCCTGGGGAATTGTCAGTTGTGTGGTCCCGGGGCTGTTGTGTGGCCAAGTGCAAACTCCAGAAAGATTAAAGGTGGAGAATAAGCTCCACGAAGAGCAGTAGCGGGGACATGGCAGGCATTTGACCAAGACCTATTGTATGATTGAACAGAGCTTCACCATGGTTAACCCTTGGAGTAGAGCTATTTCCTAGGTATGTCAGGAGTTCTCTGTAGGAAACATCAACTAACAAAAGCCATAGTTTCTCATTATTCTACTTGGTCTTGTGCTCCCGATAGACAGGCTGTCCAAACAGCTGCTCAGTTGGCTATCCCAAACCGGAGCGCTATCTGTGAGAATTCTCCTTGGTGCAGAGTGGAATACACGCCAACCTTTCCTGGGGCACCTGGGTGGCTCAGTCACTTAAGCATCTGACTCTTGATTTCCGCTCAGGTCGTGATCTCTTGGTTTGTGAGTTTGAGCCCCATGTCAGACTTTGTGCTGCCAGTGCTGAGCCTGCTTGGGATTCTCTCTCTCTCCCTCTCTCTCTCTGCCCTCTCCCCACTTGCGCTCTCTCTCTGTCTCTCTCTCTCTCTCAAAAATAAATAAATAAACATTTAAACACACTAATCTTTTCTGCGAAATGCTAGGTCCAGTAGCTATGTAAGCTACTGACTGCATTGTATTTGTTGTAATATGAGGAGGAGCATGGGGAGAGCGGCAGACTTGGCACAGAGGGAAGACTTGAGCTAAACATCTTCCCCAAGTCACAAACTAAGTGGGGTTTCTTCTTCTCAGATTTTAAAGGCAGACACGCACTTGGCATAATAAGAAATTAATGTCTTTCTTAACTTCTTACAGAAATTATATGAAATTTTGGAAACCAACAAACGAGATGCCATCAAAGAACTAGGTAAGTAGTTGGAGTATCTGATTTCCTGAAATCACACACTATTATCCCATAATTTAGCCACGGGAAGCCAAGTTCATACTCATCTTCGATTACTCATTTATTCATCCAGTGAGCATTTACTGAATGCAGGCAGTAGGCCAGGTATGCCAAAAATGCAGAGCCAGGCGGAAGGTATGAGAATATCAATAGATAATTGCAGAAAGTTAGAGAAGGTCTTGTACTGGCCATGGGAGTGTAGAGGAAAGAATGAAGGGTGTGGAGAGTGGATTAAGATGGCAGATTCCTTAAGGCTGTCAGAAAAAGACACAAGGCGATTACATTTGACAAAGGGTGCTTTGTTTTGTTTTACTTTGCTTACAAGCATACTCAGGAATGTGGGGCTACAATCTCTTGACATTTCTAGTCTCTCTGCTTGAGTTGAAGCACACAGCAGGAGCCCTAGGGTTTTATACAAACTTCTTGGGTCTGCTCTCCTCATAAGGGGCTGTGGGGCAGGCTGTGAGTGTGTGCCAAAGTATCTGGGAGAGAGCCCTGGCATATAGTAGGTTCTTGATAAACGGATGTTACTATAAAAGAGATGAAGTAAAATCACTTTGTATTCATAGCCACATTGTAAGATGCCAAATGGATTTATGAGGATCATACTTTCCAAATCAAAATTAGAAGAACATGGCCTAATGAATGACATTGTGAATTTGGAGACAATAGGTCAGAATATTTCGGCACTGTCTCAGATAACCCAGGACCCATTGTTGCCTTTACATATAGAGATAGATTTTTATTTCTGTGCTTTTATTTACTTATTTTTTAATGTTTATTTTTGAGAGATAGACAGAGCGTGAGCGGGGGGAGGGGCAGAGAGAATCCGAAGCAGGCTCTAGGCTCTGAGCTGTCAACACAGAGCCCGATGCAGGGCTCAAACCCACGAACCATGAGATCATGACCTGAGCCAAACTTGGATGCTTAACCGACTGAGCCACCCAGGTGCCCCTATTTCTGTACTTTTAAAGATTAGGGGTGTAGGAGCTGCTATCTCATATTATGCTTTAGATTCATATGGAATATTACAAAGTTTTCTTGATTCAGTCCTATAAAAGGGAATGCCTGTTCCCACATGGTTACTGCAACTGATTATTGAATGCTAATTATGTCAGGAACTGTATTATCAGCTTTATGTGCATTATCTCATTTAATCCTTGTAATTACTCCAAGAGGCAAATACTATTACTGTCTTCACTTTATAGATAATAAAGCTGAGGTTTAGAAAGTTTAATGTGCCTCAAGGCATGTGGGTGGTAAGTGCTGAGCTAGATCTCAAGCCCAGGTGCACCTGACACCGAAATCTGTTCGTGATCATGCTATCCTTCATTTTAGCGGCCAGCTCATCGCCGTTCAAAAAAAAGTTTGAGTAGCAACCTTGGGTGTCTCAGGGGATTGAGAGTCTGACTCTTAATTTCAGCTCAGGTCATGATCTCACCGTTCGGGAGTTCCAGCCCTGCGTCAGATTCCACGCTGACAGCGCAGAGCCAGCTTGGGATTCTCTGTCTACCACCCTCTCTGCCCTTCTCCAACTCATGCATGTGCTCTCTCTCTCTCTCTCTCAAAAAAATATACATAAACTTAAAAAAAAAAAAGTTTGAGTACCTTCCAGATGTCAGGCATTAAAAAAAATTTTTTTTATGTTTATTTTTGAGAGAGAGAGAGAGGGAGAGAGAGTGGGGTAGGGGCAGAGAGAGAGAGGGAGAGAGAGTGGGGTAGGGGCAGAGAGAGAGGGAGACACAGAATCCAAAGCAGGCTCCAGGCTCTGAGCTGTCAGCACAGAGCCCGATACAGGGCTCAAACTCACGGACTGTGAGGTTATGACTTGAGCCAAAATCCGATGCTTAACTGACTGAACCACTCAGGCGCCCCGGATGTCAGGCATTTTGCTTAATGTCAAGATGACAAAGATGAAAGAGACGCTGTTTTCGCCATGTCTTCCAGTCCAGGTCATGACTTCCTGTGTTCATTAAAGAGGAAAAGCTATGCCATTTGATTTCAGAAATCTCCACCAGCTGAAGCCAGGGGTCTCTTTCATGAAGCCATTTATGCGTTCACCCAACAAAAGTTATATGATGTGAAGGATCAAATAAGTAAGGACCAAAATCCCACACTATAGTAGGTTCCATAATGGAGATATGTAGGACATGCCATGGGAATAAAGAGGAGAGAGTGATTCTCTCCTAGCTGGTGGGGGACGCCAGTTTTCAATGTTCTCATCCATAAAATGCAGATGAAAATAGCTCTAGTCCTACCGGCCTCGCATGTTCTGTATGAAGCAGGAATAAAAGGATATTGTGTAAGCACTTTGGAAATTACAAACTATTACACACATATTAGTTATTATCGTGGTTATGGCATTATATGCTTAATGACGGTTTTATTTGCTTCAGGACTCATAGAGCACGAGGGTCGTGATGTTGTCATTGCTTTGAAGACTAGGCAGGCAATCCGGAACGTGATTGCTAAAGCTCTGAAAAACCTCACCTTCCTTTGGTCAAGAGGCATTATTGATAAACATGAGGGCATCGTGATGAATAAGGTAATAAAGCAATTATCCATGTTGCTTGATTCCATGAGCCCAACACCCGAGGCTGCATTGTTACTTGAGCAGAATGTAAGGAGTGAGGGAGATTAAATCGGGTGTTAGCTGTAATTTGTCTGGAGCCTTTGTTAATGCCAGTGGCAGTTAGTGCCAGTGCTACCTGGTATACACCATGTCAAAACTATTTGGTTGCAAGTAACAGAAACCAACTTGAGCTAGACCTTGCCAAGAAATGGGGCTGTGGGGTTTATTATAAAGACATAAGAGTGCCTAACCAAACCCATGGTAGCCAGACCATATGGCCATGCCTGAGGAAGGGACCTGACTGTGGACCTGGAAAGCTTTCCGGGTTCTCCGTTTCCTGTGAGGGTTGCCCTCTGCGGCCTCTTCTTTTGGCTCCCTCTACAAACTCATTAGATTTTTCTGCTTGTCTATCCACTGGTGGAATGTGTACTGCCCAGGCTAGGCAGCTGTGACAAGGGAGGTGGGAGTCACATAACGTTAACATGGTAGGGAAAGGATCAGCTTGCGTGTGTGTGTGTGTGTGCGCGCGCGCGCGTGTGTGTGTTGGTGGGAGTCTGGGGGTGCAGTTCTGAGAGAGGAGGACCCAGGAAGACACCATAATTGGTTAGCTGATAAATGGACTTTTGAAAAATGATAAATGTATTTGCAAAAAAAAAAAATAGGAACATATGACAGAAAAACATATTTAATATTTAATGCTATCACTCTATCACATCCACCATCTAGACTGTGTATTTGTGCAAATATGATTGTTCTTCCTATCCTCTGCAAGAACCTATCAGTTTCCTAACAGAAAGCAGAAATATGGAAGTTCTAGTCCTACCTTCTGTCTGTGTTGACCACTAATAAGCTGCTTCTGGGTATCATATGCTTTTCCTTGTCACTGGCAGCTCCCAGCCAAGGGTCACATGCACTGTGCTTCTGGTCATTCCCTGGACATAGTCCCCTCTCCATGATTCCCAAAGAGAAATGGGTGTGGGACAGGCCAGCTTTCCCCTCTGAGGCTCTATGTCTTTAGGCTAATATTATGGCAAAGGACAAAATGGGTTATATGATTTCTTCTTAGTGTCTGACAGAGGGAAGAAAAGGGCTACTTTACAGTATCCTTCAAGTTGTATATACCTCTACACATGCTGTGGTTTGTATTCTATTATTTTCATTTACCAGTTGAAGATTATATAAGTTTCAATTGAATTATTGATATTCATTAATTAAAATAAATAAATAATAGCCCTTATAAGGAGAGAGGCTATTTTTTTCTATAGGTTTGTTTAGAAAGGTAATGGGTAAATCAATCATTCAACAATTACTTATTGAATGCCTATTAATTGCCTAATTGTCAGCCAAAGAGATATAATTATCTTCTAAGTCATAAGGAGCTAGTCATAAGGAATTACCTAGCTAATTCAATTTAATTGAGTAAATACATGTTGAATACCTACTATGTGTTATGGACTCTTGGGGAGATTGGATACTTAATACAACAATGACCCCAAAGTCCACTGGCTCTTTCTCGTTCTTTGATTTAATCCTTTATTCATCCAGTCAATCAAGTGATTATCTCTTACCTGGTGTGGGAAGCCAAGAGAAGGTTTCTGAGAGCCCATAAAACTGAAAATATCCTTCAAAATTAGAAGAATTTAGGGAAGCAAATAATACATAGAAGAAAGATTTGAGGAAATGTGGCATTAAATTGTACAGTAGTCAACTGTGAAGTTTATTTTATTTTTTTATTTTAGAGAGAGAGAGTGTGTGAGTGGAGAAGCAGGGCAGAGGGAGAGAGAGAAAACCTCAAGCAGGCTCTACACTCAGTGTGGAGCCTGACGTGGGGTTCAATACCATGTAGGATCACCTGAGCCAAAATCAAGAGTTGGATGCTCACCCGCCTGAACCATCCAGGTGCCCCAAACTGAGAAGTTTAGATGATCTGAAATTAACACAGTGGGCTACAGTGTTAACTGGATTATAAAGATAATAAATTCAATATGAGCTAATATATCAATTCATAGGGGCGCCTGGGTGGCTCAGTCGGTTGAGCGTCCGACTTCGGCTCAGGTCACGATCTCGCGGTCCGTGAGTTCGAGCCCCGCGTCAGGCTCTGGGCTGATGGCTCGGAGCCTGGAGCCTGTTTCCGATTCTGTGTCTCCCTCTCTCTCTGCCCCGCCCCCGTTCATGCTCTGTCCCTCTCTGTCTCAAAAATAAATAAACGTTAAAAAAAAATTAAAAAAAAATAAACATTAAAAATATATATATCAATTCATAAATTCAATGAGTTAAGGGAAGAATAGGGACAAAAAAGGTTAGAGGATAATTTAAATAGGGTGAGAGAAAGTATGAGTCAACATTAAAATAAATTTACATAACAATAGTGTTTAAAGATTTCCTTAATTTTTACATAAATCTCTTTTCTGCTATAGGATCTGATCACCATTATTTTGACTGTTTTCAGGTACTTCTTAGGAAAATAAAGGCACTGAATGACTTTCCAATGGCAATCCCGCCACCAACTCCTGACAAATATCTTCATAATATTGTTTGGCTGGAAAATAAAGATGCTCTCATTGAGTTCTTCAAGGTAAAGATTCTGTCTTCTATTCTGGCTTTCCACTCCCTAAAGCAAGATTAACAAAAAGTATATCCAAGACAAGAATCCTATGATGGCTGATGAAGCGTAAGCCAAAATGGAGGCCCAGCAAAACCCAGTTTTCCAGTTTTCTACTTTTTTTTAGAGCAAGGGTTTCAAGTTTAAATTACTATACAGGCAAGGTAGATAATATAAAAGTAAAAGAAGCTGTATAGTATTATAGGGAACAGCAAAAACTGTGGTATATTCCAGAGTTCATGCTCTGTCTAAAGTCAACTGTTATGGAAATTTAGACTCTTACAAGAAATATTTATTGAATCTTCTCCCTGTGCCAGAGGCGGTTCTAGGTTTGGGGATATGCCAGTGAATAAAGCAAATGAAGTCCCTGCTTTCCTGGACTTTATATTATACGCCTAGAGCTAAACAATAAACACATAAACACACAAATACATAGACTATTAGATGATCTATCAATGCTATGGAGAAAAAGTGAGAAAAGGGAATATAGTTGGGGAGCGATTTTATATGAGGTGGTCAGAGAAGGCTGCTCTAACAAGGTGACATTTGAAGTGGGATCTGCATGCCGTGCAGATATCTGGGAGGAGAACATTCCAGGCAAGTGCAGTGCCCTGGTGCGGAGTGTGCTCAGTGTGTTCAAGGAACATCCCCAGAGCCCCTGTGGCAGAAGCAGTGATGGCAGGACCAGGTGAAGTTGGAGAAGTAATGGAGCCTGAGTTTGCACAACTCTGCAGGCCATTGTAAGGGATTTGGCTTTTACTCTGAGTTCAATGAAAACTTAAGAGAAGGTTTTGAACAGAGATGTGGTACATTTCAAAATGACCGCCTTGGGGATGTCTGGGTGGCTCAGTCAGTTAAGTGTCTGACTCTTGATTTTGGCTCAGGTCATGACCTCATGCACTGACTGTGTGGAGCCTGCTTGGGATTCTCTCTCTCTCCCTCTCTCTGACCCTCCCTGGTTTGCATGTGTGTGTACACATGTGTGTATTCTTTCTCTTTCTCAAAACAAATAAATAAACTTAAAAAAAAATGACCACCTTACCACTATGTTGAGAATAGGTTGGTAAGGGGTCAAGGGAAAGCCAGAAGCAAGAGTGATGGTGGTTTGGATTAGTGAAAGTGACGAGTGGTCAGACTCTTGATGTGTTTTGGAAGGTAGAGCTGATAGGTGCTGATGGAAGGAGTGTTAGAGAGGATGACTTCTGGGATTTTAGTCTGAAAACAGGAATGGAGTTCCTGTTGACTTAAGTGCAGAAGGGAAGATTTATATGGAGGGCACAGGAGTTTGATTCTGAATGAGTTAAATTTGAGAAAGTGTTGAGACATCCAAATGGAGATGTTGAGTAGACGGTAAGATACATGAGTGGAATTCAGGTGGCAGGCCAAACGGGAGATAGGTATTTTGGAGTTTTCAGCATAGAGATAGTATTTAATATATGGAGACTTGATGAGATAAGTTAAGGAATTATTATGGACATCCAAGGATTGAGTCCTGGGCTATCCAACATTTAGAGTGGAAATGACGAGGAATTAGCAAAACAGATAGGAAAGAGATGAGATTTGTGGTTACCAGAGGCAGAGAATAGGGGGAGGGAAAATGGAAGGAAGATAGTCAAAGGGTACAAACTTCTAAGTTATAAACAAGTACTAGGAATGTGCTATACAACATGATGACCATAGGTATTAGCATTGCTGCATGGTATATTTGAAAGTTGCTAAGAGATTAAATCCTAAAAGTTCTCATCACAAGGAAAAAATTGTTTTTGTAACTAGATGAGGTAATGGATGTTAACTAAACTTGTGGTAATCGTTTCATAATATATGTATGTCAAGTCATTATGTGGTATTCCTTAAACCGGAACAGGGCTGTATGTCAATTACATCTCAATAAAACTGGGGGCGGGGGGAAGAATTGAGGAGTAATCCATCATGTGGGAGGAAAACTAAAAGAGAGTGGTGTTCCAGAAGCCAAGTGAAAAAAGTATTTCATAAAGGGGAAAATAAGCAACCATGTCAAATGAGGCTGAGATCAAATAAGAAGAAGATTAGAAATTGACTATTAGATTTAATAATGTGGAGGTCAGATTTTTTAGATCTGAATTTTTATGTGAAATTTCCAAATTTTAAAAATTTGGCACACATTAAAAATTTAAAAATATCCCGCAGGCCAAACAAAAAACATCGTTGGATTGGATGTGACCCATAGACCACTAGTTTGTGGTTCTAGTTTTAAATGGCTATAGTATAAATTATAAGATTTATAGCTTTTTCATCAACCTGTTACAACCTCTGTTAGATTTTTAGAATCAGGAAGACTCTGTGAGAAAGAATGGCATTTGTTTTACCATAAATTTGGTTGTACCATATTTTGTGATCTAGGCACGTAGTAAGGCATCTGTTTGTCCACAATGAGGACATTTTCCTTGTTTTCTAGAAAGATAGCAATCATAATGAAGTTCTACTGAGCTTTGAATATCTGATTCCTTTCTTGCTATACCAATGTTTTCTTCCTATCAGAAATTTTTGAATTTTTCTTCTGAATTGATTTCAAATGTACTGAATTAAGACTCCTTTGGTTGAAAGTAACAAGAGCTAGGGGCACCTGGATGGCTCATTCGGTTGGGCGTCCAGCTTTGGCTTAGGTCATGATCTTTTGGCTTACAACTTCTAGCCCTGTGTTGGGCTCTGTGCTGACAGCTCAGAGCCTGGAGCCTGCTTTGGACTCTGTGTCTCTCTCTCTCTCTCTCTCTGCCCCTCTTGCTCATGCTCTCTGCCTCTCAAAAATTAAAAAAAAAATTTTTTAATTAAAAAAAAGTAACAATAGCTTACTTGAATTAGTTTAAGCAAAGGGGAAGTTGACTGAAAAGACAAGGTGGTGGTATATAGAAGGTACTAAGAAATAGTTAGCTAACTAACCATGGGCAGGGTGGGATTCAGGCCAGTTTAGTAATATCAGTGGTGGGAATTTGTGGACCCTTCTTCTAGCACTTGGATATCATGGCTCAGTTCTCAATTCCCAGGCTCGTTGTCTCTCAGTTCCAATTCTTGAGAAAGAAGTCCAACTGGCTTAGCTTGGATCTGATGTTCTGCTTTGGGGAGCACAAGTGTGGCTGCAATAAGGAGGAAGAAACCTGATGTGATGGCCAAGGGCCGTAGTGGGTAGTTTGAAAAATAGATTGCAAATAAATGCGTGTGGGAGGTTGGTGATGGACTTGGACTGGGAAGCAGGTGTCTCTAAAGTGTTTCTTATAATTTGCATTCTCCTTAGTTTTGTTAAAATCCAATTTAAGATACAATCAGAATTTTGTTCTTTGTAGGTAATAATTTTCACAAGTGTAATTAACTGACCACCCAGGGGAGGAATGCCAAAACCAATGAGAAGAAGCTAACTCTATAGATTAATGATTCATAGACACCTGAGGTGACTCTGTCACCACAACGTAACCTCCTTCCCATCCTTGATTTACCATGCCTCTGCAAGGCTGTTGGACCCTCTCTATCCCCTTACAGACTTCTGTTACTCTATGTGGCCCCTTTCCTTAATATGTTGGGTCTTGATAGCCATTTCAATCCAATTTTACCAGGGTAAAAATTGTGATGAATTGGGAGTACACAGCCCAGGGATTGTGTGGCTAACTAGCTAAAATCCACAGGGTAAACAAAATAACACCCCTTATGGTAGACTGTGATTTCAAGTGTGGTTTCCATCACAGCTACAATGGTTAATTTTAACTACTCCTCCCTTCTTTCATTCTCCAGCCAGTGTGGTTAATTAGAAACCTAATAGTCTATAAAGAGAAGCCAGAAGTCAATGGTAGAAAATAAGGGTCTGAATAATACATAAGCTGGCTAATTGGTTTTATGTGACCTTTTTTAAAAAATCGTGAAGTTATCCATGAAGTGCATGAAGTAAAACGTGAAAACTCATCACTCCTTACCCCACATTTAGAGATAACCACTATGAATGATTTTGAGATAGGTTTCCTATATATCTTTATAAAATGCAGATCTGTCACCCTAATTCCCCTGTTACAAACCCTTCCATGGCTCCTTTCTGGTTTTGGGGAAAAGCCCAAACTCTTTAATGTGCCTACAAGACCCTTCAAGACCTGGCTTTGGCTCACTTCTCCAGTCCTTTCTCTACTGGGGCTGTGTTATGACTTTTCATGGGCCCTGGCACTTTTGCCTTAGTCGGCCTCTTCCCCCATATAAAAGTACAAAAATTATACTTTATGACTGTGTTAGTATAAAGATGAATATATTGGTATTAAATGTTCTAGTATTAAAGCATTTCTTCCACCTAAAAGTTTTTTTTATTCCCTTCTGATTTTAAAATAAATGAAAATACTGTTATAAGTCCCTAATGTGTTGGGAACCCTAGGCACTATGCCTAGTGAAGCCTGTCTCCACCCCACCCTGCTGTGGCCACAGAATACCAAATCTTCTACAGTTACCCCAACTGTAGATACTCTATTTGCTTCTGGGTCTTTGCATATGCCGAATCCTCTGCCCTGAATGGGGTTCAACTCATTGTATCCTGCCTATCTGTTACCCTTCCTTCAGGCCTCAGCTTGGCTGTTCTTTCCCCTTTAAAGTCTTCCCTGGACACCCAATACTGGGTCCTGTGGCCTTTCTGGACTTTGCCAGAGCATCCTGTTTCTTTCTCCTTTATCAGAAGTATTACACTTTATTGTAAACATCTACTCAACTGAGCACTTGTTGGGTGTTTCCATCAGTCACTGTGCCCGGTACAAATCACAAAGTCTACAATTTGCTTGCTTGTTCCTTTCTTTTAAAATAAAATTGATGAGGCATGTTAGCATATTATAATTCATTAACAAACCAAAGCATACAATTTGTGGAGTTTTTTTTTTTTTCTACTTGAAACCCATTTCAGCTTTAACATCTTATTTCTATTTAGAAAAGTAAGCTATGAAACTTTCGTGTTGACTCCTTTTTTATTTTTCTTTCAGGAAAGAGCCAAACTTGCCTACTTCGACTATGGAGATGTCATTTGTAAAGAAGGTGAAATGCCACAAGGAATCTACTTAATTATTTCAGGAATGGCAATTGTAAGGGACTATTCATTGTTTACTAAAAATGTGCTTTGAAATATATATGATTTTAACATAAGGGGAAATTTAGGAACCAGGAAAGTTTCATATTTTTAACATAATTTCTAAACCAAACCATTTCTGCTCAGAGTGAACACTATAGCTGAGAGATAATGATAATACCCACCATCTGAAAGGTGCTCCTCATATAACAAAATGTTTTTATAGTCTTTGCTTATTCCTTGTGGCAATTCTGGGAGGAAGCAGTCTTTTCCATGATGTTCTGATAAACAACTTGGAGTGGTTGAGTTATCTCAAGGAAATGAGGTCAAGAATAATGGGATGGACCACAATGTCAGATCCTTACTGAGGTCAAATAGGATGATGTTTGAAAATATGACTTTTACCCGACCAGTAGGAGGCATTTGGTGACCAGAGAGAGAAAGAGGTCAGTAGAGTGAGGGGGACAAGAGTTCTTTAGAAACTGAATGCTGGTAGCTGAATACATGGGTGAGCCCCAGCTTATGGCCCAAATAATTCCTAGATCCTAAATGATGGTGACAAGTGACAAACCCTTAGTATAATACACATACTATATCTGGCTCTCTATTTTTTGAAGGGGTATTTCAGACCTTAAAAATATCAAAATTGATCATGGAAATAAACTGTTATGATAAGTATATTATAATACTAACTAACACATATAGCCCTTATTAAATGTCTGGCACTTTTCATTCATTCATTGATTCATTCATTCAACAAATATTTACCTCATTACCACCACACAGTGGCACTATTCATTCTAGGCACAGAATTGACAAAACAGACAAAAATCTCTGCCTTCTTAGAGTTTACTTTCTAGTACAGGCATAGAAGGAGATGGGATAATGAACAAAATAAGCAGTTAGATATACAGTATGTTAGAGGTGATTGAGAGATGAAGAAGTTAGTTGTAATTTTTTAAAGGGTGGTCAAAATGGCAATATACTATGACAATCCTTATAATAACCTTTTTTTTTTTCATAGAATAAAGCTGATGTACAGAGAATTAATTCGCTTGCCCCTGCAATGGCACATAGTAACAGGTCGAGAAAGGCTTTGAACCCATAGAGTTGGCCTCAGTAATGTCCTTAGCCATTATTCTATTCTGCTTCCAGTAGATGTGTCATGTTCCTATTAGAGTCATAACAAAAGAACACTGCTACCTGTATTTATTAAGTATGTCGAATCAAACACTTAAAAGCTGCAACGTACATTTTCCTTTGAGGAATTTTCCTGCAATGACTGGGCTAGTTAGGTCTTCTTAAAGTATAAGTCCAACAATATTTGGGCTGGAGATGTTATTAGTGTTTAATCGATGCCATAGCAACTCAGGACAAATTTAGCAGTTTAGATTATCTCATAGTTCAGAAGTCCTATGGGCTTAGTTGCTTTCTCTGCTTGAATCTCACAAGGCCAGTATCAAAGGGTCAGTAGGGCAGTGTTCCCTTCTGGAAACTCTGAGGGCAGAATCAATTTCCAGATTCATTGAGGTTGTTGGTAGAATCCAGTTCCTTATGGCTAGAGGACAGACGTCCCTGCTTCTTTGCAGACTATCAGCCGGAATCCACCTCCAGCCCCCACACTTCCCTTCCATCTTTGCA